GCCAACAATATAGGAAACGTGGCCATAGGGCAACAAGGAAACTTCGGCAATAGGCTGAATTCTCAACAAGTTTAACCGATTCGAGTCAATTTTGAGAAGCCCCAAATGGCTCCAAATGGATTCCGCTGGGCTTCGAGAACCTCCAGGACTGACGCAAGAGGCTCCCTGGCGCGCTCTGAAAGCCAGATCAACAACATCGAAGCCGCCCCGGAAACTGCCATCTTTCTAGGGGTTGATTCCTTTTCCATTATTTTCAACGATCATCATTTTTTTTCAAAAACCAGCTGTTCTTCCATGGTTTTCTGAAAAGAAGGATCCCTGGAAAGAATGGGGAAGTGTCCCCTAGAATCTTTGAATCGCAGTAAGCGAATGATAAGCTCATGCAGCTGCACATAGAGGCTCCGTGCTTGGAACAATTTGAGAGGGTCTAGTTTGCACCACCCCCCATCAAATACGGATTCTGCAAACACAAGCACTGGACTAATACAGTGAGTACATAATGCTGGTATGCCCCTTCTTTGCCCATGAGGTGGCTTGATGGTGGAAACCCTCCAAAAAAAAACACGGAGGGTTGCAGCTGGGTAGGGATGGGGCAGAAGGAAATGGCTGGGCTTGCCCCCTTCGAACCATAGACTCGCCGACTTAGACACCCCAACTCTTGGGATTGCAGCCGAGCACAACCCCCCCGATTTTCGGACACAAGCGCTGCATGCGGAACCCTCCCATGTCTCCTCTGGAGCTTGCGGCTCCTCTTCCGCGCTACTTCCTGACATGTGGATCCCCTAAAAATTGATTGGCGTCCCTTTGGTTTCCCTGAACAACAGCCCAAAAAGCTAGAACATCCTGGGGAGTAGCTGCTTTTTGGTGTCCCTCACCAATCCCCACCAGCTAGGCTGCGGACGCTGGCTCTGTCTGACTCTGGGCATGTCGGCTGAGAGTTCACGAACCAAAAAAGAGCTACGGGAGCCGCCCAAAACGACCAAAACCTCTGCAACAAATGGAGGCGGCCAGGCTCTCGTGCACATAGCCCAGGATCGGCAAATCCTACATCAGTCAAAAGCAAGCGCGTACTCAAGGAGTTGACCGGGGTGCGAACTTCAATTGGGGACCCTTCGGTGGATGTCGTTTAGGTGCGGTCCATGTCCACCAACCACTTGCGTGATGTTTGACTATTAAGATTCATAGCCGACTCACAGCCGTGGTAAAGAATCCAAAGGGCGGATGTTGATGGTTGGGATTGTGTCTTATTAACCTTCATCTACCGGTTTTCATTGTAGCTCAGGGGACCTTTGACGCAAATCCACCACATTCACCACAGTCTACTTTTTGTGTCCTGTCCGCGGGGTCACTGGGGAGGTTGTCTTGCGCGCGTTTGGACCTTAGTTTCATGTCGGGCCGCCGGTATCAGGGTTTGGGTGTCTTTTTTAAGGGTGAGTGCATCTTTTTGGTGGTTTGCAATGGAAACCAACGGAAACACCGTTGCATGCCATGTTTTGGGGGGTACCTTAGAAAGAGACACACCCCAACCAAAAACATTTGGCGGTCCTTCCACTGCGACTTCTGCCACTGCACATCGCAGGCGCAAAGCTGTGTAGTGCCTTGCACCTGCATAGCTGAGACGCGATCCATGGATCGCTGTGACCTTCTCAACGTTCAAGCTGGGGTGGGCGTGGGGGTGAGGTCGGGGTGGGGGTGGGGGGTGTGTGGACCCTTTGGGACGTTCTCAAAGGCGAGTTGACGAGGGAGGGATTGGACCACTCAAAAGTCATACTGTGGATGGCTGCAAAATCCAGAAATCGCAGAAATCCTGGAATGGTGATTCGATTCCCCAACGTAATTAACTACAAACAACGGCTTCAAACATGCTTTCAAAGTGATGCAGGATTTCGTCCATCCACAGTAGGGTTCAAACCTCTTTGTTCAATACTTGCTGGTGCGATAGGCAAGGAATGAGGGAATACACCGAAGGGGATTCCCAAATAATGGACATTCCCAGCTGGATGTTTTTTCTCGGGGTCATTCCAACTCATTCCCTGCTGAGCACCAGCAAGAAGTCAAGGGGCAAAGATGAAAGATGATACCAGAGGTTGGTCCAGGCAATTCTTGCATGTTGGAGGTGGAAAAGCAGTTGGCGGATTCGATAATGCAGATGGTTTCAGCCTGCACTGGCGCACTTGCTCCATGCTTGCCATAGTTGCCTCGATCCGCTTTGCCTGCTCGTCTTCAGCATGTCAAGTCTGTTGTCTGTTGGGGGACTTGGCAACCGTTTGATTGCAGCAATTACTCATTTTCCGCAATACTACGGTGGAGGGGCGAAATTCTGCTCCACCGTTCAGACATCGTGAAATGAATCGATTCCTTAACGCAAATACCAACTCAAGTCTGGGCACTACTACATTTAGTCTTGGCAATACTACAGTAAGTGCTGGGAGTCTGAGAGTATGTCTGGGCAATACCAAATTTATTCCTGGCGCGAATGGATTTCGCACCCATCGGGCCGTTATCCAGTCGCCTGCGCTGCCTGGCGCAAGGCGGTGGCCAGACACTGCAGAGCCGTGTCCGTGGACAGGGGCCTCAAATTTGCGTCACCGGCCGTGGGAAAATTGGTATGGGTACTGTGGATGGACGAATTCCCTCGCAATTGAAACCATTGCTGATCGCGTTGTTTGTATGTACCGGAGAATCATCATTCTTTAGAGCAGGATTTCGTCCTCCCACAGTATGTGAATAAACAAAGAAAGCCCCACATGTTGAGCGGTTTTACTTTTGAATTTAACCACCAGCCCCAAAAATCAGCTTGTCTTTAGAATTACTTTCGTCCACCAATACGGAACTCACCAAAGGAAAAGTCCTTCTTAGAGGAGAATGGCCTTCCGGACCTCCATTGGCGGTTTGGTTTTGTTGCTTGGAGGTGTGGAGCTTGGTTTCTCATTTACCTTCAGGAGCCAGCGGCTCAAACCAATGACCACCAATCCAAACCACCTATGAAATGGGTGTGGCTCAAAATTCAACAGGAGGAGTTACGTTTCCGCTTACCAGGGTTCCATTTTGGTACCGGTTTTTTGAGCCACAGCCAAATGGCATACCCGAAAACGAGCGGAGTCACAACCTCCCAATTGCCTCACAACTGGGTAGACCAACTGTCACAAAATGGGTAAACACCAACACCAGGTTGGTTTAAAGGGGAAAGAAGTAAAACCACCCTGGTTTCCAGTATCTCAATGTGGGCAATGTCCCAACTGAACCGAGTGAGCCGGGGTTTCCGGAGGCCTCCGAGCTCTACAGAGTTGTGTTGTTTTCCGCGTTTTCTCCGGTGAAGTGGTGCGTTCTTATGGAAAATCCACCCCGACACGGCTTCGGTTTCATGGTTTCCCTCCCGAAAAGGGTCCCGATGAGACAATTCCCAGAGTGAGCGCCAGCTCTCCGTTAAGCCTTCAGCTCGGCTCCCGACGTGTCGCCCTCTTTTACTGCTTGTTCATAGGCCTTTGTGCCTACCTGGCTCGTGTACCCGGTATGTCAAACAAATCGGGACCCCTCCAAACGTGTGATGGTTCCCAACAATATCACGCATCAAACCCCATTTCAGGGACCGCAAGCCTGGTCTCAAACCTTCCAACAGCAGTGATTTGCGTTGCCGTTCTCTCTTGAAATAGGAGTCATGCTAATCATACTCACAAGCTGGTCTTAAAGTGGTCTATCCATATCCGTACCGTTTCAGAATGGCAAGGGCTTGTTTGAAAATGGCTAGGGAATGGCCAGAACATCACTGCGGGCTTTGATTGTGGCCCATATTCGACATCCCCTCTCAAACCATCGAAAAGCCGAGAGCTGTTTGACAAGTGAACAAACACATCAAACAACAGCAACAAACGTGACACCCCACGATCTTACAATTCTCAAAGTTACGCCCTAAGTGATACCTCAAGGGAACCCACTATTTTGCTGCCTTTGACTCCCCCCACCCCCCGCCCAAAACAGACATCATCACCCCAGTTTCGCATGGTGACGGCCCTTTAAGCGCCTGCGCCATGCCCGCTTCTCCTCAGTGCGACGGGCGCTTGCCAAATTGATCGAGCCAACGTCCAACCAATCTGGCTACTTGTCCTTTCTCTTTGTTGCCAGTTTGGACCTGGAAGACCCAGAAGTACAAAGGTTCACCTTTTGAAGGCCACTCAAGTTGGACCAAAGGGGAAATCAAAGCCTCCAAAGGTCGGCTCTGGGCAAGTGAGTTCTTGCGGAACTACTCCCTTGTATCTTTCAACAAAAAACTAACAAAAAGAGAGCATGTCCCCAAAAAATCGAGGGAGTAACTCCGCAGAAGAAGGGGGGAAAAACCCTCTTGGGAACCGGTCATTTTCCCCACAAGCGATGCATCTAGGTGGTTGTGGGTTCTTCTGGGGAGAGACCAGATCCCGCTGCAGTCCGCAGTCCATGCGAGTGGATGACCAACACCAGGCAAACTTCATGTCGCCAAAATAGGGATCTGCACCCCCAACAGTCTCAACAAGATTGACGTCCAGTCCTAAAAAGGGTACCTGGACCCTCAAACTACCCGTAAAGATGGGTTATTGCCCCGTACTTCTAGGGTGGTGTCCTTTTTGTTGAGGGTAGTTTGAGGGTCCAGGCAGCTTCAAACACCGCTGCTGAGGTCAATGCCCCACGGACCCCAATTCACTGCGATGACGCGGCATGGCGGAGTGTCGCCCTGGCCGAGCAGTTGCCATGTCTGCAAATTCACTGAAGGGAACCAGCCAAAAAGGGTACAAGAGAAGGTTCCCCTCCCAAGGGTTATTAGGGTTCCAAGAGAAGACGGCTCTATTTCCTGAAAATGAAGGTTATTTGGGTTCCATGTTAATTTGTAAGCGAGTTTGTGTTGTCTGTACACAACATCAAGCCAGGGTGGTTTGGTCACAAGGAGTGGAGTACACAACATCAAGCCAGGGTGGTTTGGTCACAAGGAGTGGAGATTACTGGTCTGATCGTGCAAGCATACTCTCGTCCAGCTCCAAAAAATATTGCATGCGCAACGTTTCTCACTAGCAAATCTGGGTATGCATGAATATGCCCACCCACCTCCGACCCCCCGTCCCCCCCCCTCGCCAAAAACTCAAAATAAACACATGAAACAGCAACATGGACAAATCATCTTTACTCAAGTGGTCTTTGAGAACTTTGCGACTAACGCATATCATTGGTTAACCTCTTCTCGCAAAAAATGGTTGTCAAGAGTCGGTTTGGCTAGGTTAGGTCAAGGCCGAGGCTTCCGCAGGGAGACAGGGATCCGGATGCATTATACACCTGAACATTGCAACTTGTAAATGGTGGTTTCCAACTTTATTCTGGTGTTGAAAAAGCCATGATTCAAATCGGCAAAATGTATCTTTTAAGGAGCCCTGTTAGAGTTTGGTTTGGCTGGATCTCCTTCCCTTCGTTGCCCCTGGCCTCGGACAGCGCCCCACTGCCGAAGGTTGCAAATTGATCAAGCAGCGCGTTGGCCGCGCAATAGTTCACCTGGCGGAGTCGACCAACCCCAACACACGAAGCGTGAGGAACTTGAAGGCTCCTGTTGCCACGGTTACGCAGGTTTTGGTCCATGTTTCCACAGGGTTCTATTTTGGTACCGGCTTTTTGAGCAGCCATCTACAAGTTGATTGGTTGCACTAGCAAATCCCTGAATCGAAGAACATGAGACACTAAAAGAGAGTTCACCAACCTGCTGAATGCAAGTATTGTCTTAGTAGGGAGGGGTCCCAGAAAGGGGGCGAGCCTATCTGGGGGCAGAAGAAGGCCGAAGACGGGACCGGGAACCCCAAAAATTAACATAATAAACAAATCCTGGGCACTGTTCTGTTTTTTTCAATAAGGGAGTGCCCCGTTCTTTTTATAAGGTGGTGGGTCCTCTCTATCCCTCTGCTATGTCCAAGAACTGAGGATGGACATGGTGTGTCGGGGCTTCGAGTTGGCCTTGAACAGTTCGGAGCATCGTGTTCTGCGAGCTATCATCCAACTCTACGAGAATTCCAACATCTGAATCATGGCATTTTCAAGGACGTAGTAGTGAGCTCATTCCTTTGCGGGTGAGCTCGTCGAAAAATAGGCACGATGAACCGCACGCGGGGGGGCGGGGGGATATTTTCGGGCTGGAGAGGGCCAGAATCAATCAAAGCGGAATTTGTGTTATTCAACCTGCCCACCTGGATACCAGCCCTCCGAGCCGAAGTCCGAAGTGAACTCCAAACAAACCCAAGACCCACCCTCATTAAGATCTCAGCCCGCCCAAAACACACCCCTCACCAAGCCCGAGCAACTCGGAACTGCCACCAAATCAGAGCGAATAGGCAGCCTAGGTCCGAGTCAGGCTGGTGATGCTGAAATGCGGCCAACAAACCAACCAACCAACCAGCCAGCCAGCCAGCCAGCCAGCCAGCCAGCCAGCCAAACAACCATCGTTCTTCTCAGAAACTATACCCATTTTCATAGAGGGATTGGCCCATGAGAATGGAAATGCAAGACACGGCTAGACTGGGAATCGGTTTGGGGAGCATGTTCCCAAATAGGTTTCTCTCAAAATAGGCAAACCCCCCAAAATGGGTGATTTCCAATTGGCATGGTGGTTTGCCAATGTGTTCTCCTTTACAACCACCAACTGCAAATCATGACGCCCTTTTTCGCACCTTTGACAAATCCGTGAGTTTCATTGGCATCTTGACTCTTGGCTTCCGTTAAAATCCCCAAAAGGGGTACCCTAGCACACCCAAGTGTGCGCGGGTTTAAAATAAAGAAGAAGTATGGAACCTGGTAAATGGAAACAAACACTAAAGCCTGCTTTCGACCCTACCCAAATAGATCTCAGGCGAAACTTTTGTTCGCCTGTCCAGCGTAGCCAAACAGGGAGGACGTCGATGAGAAGCCCAGAGCCCACTGCAAAGGCCAGTCCAACTCCTGGTGAAGCGGTCCCTACACGTTGTTTTTTGTTATTTCTCCTTCTTTTTCTGGGGACCCCGCAAAACAGTGGTTTAGCTTTTGGTGTTCCTTTAAAGCCACCAAAAAGGGGGTGGTCCCGTATATAGGTGTGTCTTTTTTGAGTTGGTAGGCGTTAAAAGGGAATCCAAAAAGACGAGCCAAGTATACCTGCTGTCTCCATGACTTAAGCTGACGGGGTTACTCGAAAGAAAGGCACCGGAACTCCAAAATCCCGGAATATGAAACATCACATCTTGCCAATGTTCGTTTCGCTTGCATTCCCGAAACATTGTGCGCCTTACAGCCCAAACCGTTTGCCAGCCATTGGCTCAGGATGCAAACCAAGACCAATCCCGAAGCGCGAGATGTGCCTCTTTTTTCTTTTCAATGCATTGCTTGGTGGTCTTCTTATCCCCGCCGAAATACTGTCCAAAGCATCCCAATTAAACTTCACACGCATTCGAGTCGGACCGCGTTGACGAGTAGTCCTAATACTGGAATGCACCCTGAAATCGTGCCAATAACTTAATATTGGAACTGAGCAAGGCCAAACAGATGCCTATCTATGGCTACCGGTACGAATCCGTTCTTGCCCTTCTGCAAGTCGACAGCCGACATCCCAACATGTTATCTTCCCTGAAGCATATAGCTCGGTGTAACTTACATCACTGCTTCAGCTGATACTGCTCTTCAGTGCTAAACCGGCTCTCGCGGATGCTCAAATACTACACAACGAAACCTAAGTAAAGCCAACAGTACGCCAAGGTGAGTGGCACCCCCGATAGACATCTGGGGATTTGGGGATGTGCTAGGGTCGGAAGGTGTTTTCTTTGTTTTATAGTTACTGGGGGGGGAAGGGGGAGGGAATGCACTTCGTAGTTCACATGCACTTGCATGCATACACTCTAAAGAGCTGTACTTGCAAGAAAGGCACCCGCTGCACCTTGCAACATCATTGCCACACGTGCATCAAATGCATGATTTGGAAATTGTGGTCACACCCCCCCCCCCCCCACTTGAAAACACAAAACAGGTGATGCGCGGCCCTCAATCCCCATGCAATTGGCTTCATGTTCCGATCTTGATGGCTCCGCTCGGTGGCTAGGCCAACAGAATATGTGTTCCAACACGATCAACCCAATTGCTGCGACAACACTGAAACAAACGAAGATAGCACTCATCTTCAAACCAGTACAACTCTGATGCATCAGGCATGTATTCAAGCAATGTAACAACCTACCTCCACTCGCCCATGCTAAAACCACAACTTTGAAGAACTGAGACTATGCAAGACTAACCGTCTTATAGAAGCAAGCATACAATGCAAGGCTTCTGAACGCCATCACGCCTATACCAGTTCCTCATCGCTGAGAGATCAACGCATGTGCTCTAATTGTGTGGTGAACGTACTAGTCTCACTTCCTGACTGGATTGGCCCAAACAAGTCCAAACTGCTTATGTATGTACCAATGAAATGGGCCATATCAGGAAAAAAAGAGTCCGGGAACTTAGGGAGTGAGTGGTGTTCAAGCTTAGGCTGTCGACCCAAACGCCTCAAATGCTGAACTCGAAGCCTCACCATGGTCCCATTGCTCCTTGGCTGCCTTCAGCAATGCCAGAAGCATCCCGCACTTGGGCTGAGCTACCTGTCCGAGTTCACATCTACTTGGATGTTCAACCAAGGTAGCCAGCAGGCGATAACTATCTTTGTCAGTCAACCAATCCCAAATTGTTCCACTTCCAACCATTCTCACAACCTAGCTACTAGGTTGAAGATCCAAGTACCCGCAGGCTCACAATCAGCGCGAGGCTCGGAGGCTTCTGGGCCCGGTGTGGGTCGATGTCTACAGCAACGCTCGAACTTGCCTTCTTCATTCGCTCTTCGGTCATGCCTGCCAAGCTCGTGAAGCAAGGCAGAATCGGCTGCAATGCATTTGTGGACACTTGAGATTGTGAAGATCATACCTGCGAAATCAGAGCAAATGCATATTCTGCCGGTGGTGCAATTGTCAAGCACCTGCCTGCAATGATTCCATCATCCAGCACCCCAGCCAGATGAAAAACCCCAGCCACATTTCGGACCTGCGCAAAGCTGCAGGCTCTGTAGCTGGGTTGTTCCAGCAAGGACCTTTGAGTGGCCATATTTTCTGAACAAATTTCTGAAACTCACAAATTGACAAAAATGAACCCCCTCGACGCATCTTTTGAGGTCGCGTTCTGCCCTCGAGGAGTTGCTGAGAAAAACAAATCCTGCGCAGCCCCGACTCCACTCGCTGTATCACCGCCATGCGACTGAGGCGTGCATTTGGAGTCTGAGAGTCAGGGGAGGAAGGGTCAACCATCTGCTTTCTACAGGAGTTCCAACCTGAAATGAGAATTGGATCCCCAAGTAAAGCTACAACATATTCGTCATAAAATCAGCAAATGAATGACTAGTATGACCAAACTGGGGGAGGCCGGGCGCCCGGCATCTTTCAGTGCCAAGCACAGGCTGTCCTTGCTGTCCACGCGAGAAGCCTGGCAAGCCGGGAGAAAAACAAAACATCCTGCTGGTCAGTGGTTTCGCGTGGTGTCCAGTGGTTGTAGCTGGTTTCAAAGAGTCTGCTAGGAATTGTCCAGTTTCCACAAGATGGGCGGTCAGGGGTAATCACATCCGATTTGGGAAAAGGATTCGAAGACAAGTGGTCCAAGTTCTTGGCCCAGGTTTACAAAAGCTCAAAGTCTTCTGGCTGGCCCATAGGCCTCCAATCAGAGGGCGTTCGAGTGTTGGACGCCCCAAGAAAGTCCCAAGAGAGCCCAACACTCGAACAACTCTCCACTCACCCACCAAGCGTTGCTTATGCGAGCTGGAAAAAAAAAAACGTATTAAAACTCTTATCCCAGGATGGTTTCATTGCAAATCCAAGCGGCGGTCTTCATAAGAGTGAGGTCCCCCAAAAACATGCCCCTTAAGTGTATGAGGTCTCAGGTGTGTACACCGCTGCAAATTGTTGCTGGCTGCTGCTGCTGCTGGCTGCTGCTGCTGGCTGCTGCTGCTGCTGCTGCTGGCTGCTGCTGCTGCTGCTGCTGGCTGCTGGCTGCTGCTGGCTGCTGGCTGCTGCTGGCTGCTGCTGCTGCTGCTGCTGGCTGCTGTGGCTGCTGCTGGCTGCTGCTGCAACTCATTGCTGGGATCTGCAGAAACAAAGAAAATGCAAACTACAGAAATGGGCCACTCCTGATCCAAGGCATCTACGACTTGCGCGCGACTTGCGCGCGACTTGCGCGCGACTTGCGCGAAAATTTAGCAATCTTCCGGATTCTTTCGACCATGCGGATGATGATGATGATGATGATGATGATGATGATGATGATGATGATGATGATGAATCATCACTGCGTCACTTGCGCTTCACTTGCGCTTTACTTGCGCGGCCCCATGTTTGACTTGCGCGGCCGCTCCTGCAACACACGCCTGCCATTCAAATTACAAGCGGCGGTGCAGCTAATTTGATAGGTCCAAAAGACCTGGGATCATGCCTTACATTGACACATACAACGTTTTTTTTTTTTTATGCGCCCACTGAGACAACGCAGGCCGGGCGCGTGGGACGCTGTGACCAACAGACTGACCGACCAACCCGGCAACCAATTGTCAGCCCAAAACAAGAACGCCTAGGCAACTATGAAACACACGCAACATCATCCCCAACTCCCTCAAACTAACAGGGCTACACAAAATAACCCCTCTCGAAGGGCATGGGTTGTCCTTTTAATGGGAACCCCCTCTTGGTTTACATGGGGAAAGCAAAAAGATACCAACTATTTTGGGTCCCTTTCTTTTGTGGCAATACCAACCTTTCAGCCCTCCGGCACTCGCCTCCACCACTGTGCAGCGCCCCAAGTCCCCCTCCAAAGCCGCGGAGTTCTGGCGCCGCAGCAGCAGCAGCTGCTCCGGTTGCAGACCCTGGCCACGATCTGCCTTTTGGTCACGTGCGGGTGGCCAACCTTTTGAGGCCCTCGACTTGTTTGGAAACCAACTGGAAAAACGATCTTGGGGTTCCCCGCTTTTTGAGATGTCCAATTGTTTGAGGCTCTTTACTTTTTGGGTTTGAAGGGAAACCAACGGGGAAAAACGACGATTTGCGGGATTCCCTATTTTGAGACTTGAGACAAACCCATGCGCAGCATTACACAATAGGTACAATCCCACTAACATCGCACCTGGCAAGGGTTTCCTTGAAGAGTAAAAATGACCCTCCCACATGTGGTGCTATGTGAGTTGGTCTTGAAAAATTTGACTTTTCCTTGAAACACCTCAAAGGGTATCCACCCATGTTTGAGCGGGTTGCTGGCTTGATTGCACGCATGCATTTTGACCCCAGCCCTGCATCACATGAAGAAAGTCAGTGTGCAAGCGCGTACCTGTGAGATGATTGTGAGGGGTGTGTGCTGCAACTCAAAGGCGGCCAATGCATGAGACAGAATGCAACGGACACAGCAGGTAGTTTGTAGTGTGTCATCCCTGTTGTGCTGTCAATAATTCAGGAAACTTCAATGCTGGACCCAAACTAAATACAACTCAGAGGTGCAATCATCTGATCAGACCTATCAATGCCTGACAATTTGGATTATGTTCCCAGCAATCGTGACCAGCTCTTTGGCACTCCATTTTGGTCGCAGCGTTTCCAGGCGTCCTTTATGCAACTTTGCTTGGCAAAGGCATAGACTATGCAGACTTTATCTATGCAAGGAGCAAAGCGAAACGAGCGATTGATCAACTCACCGGTCCAACCAGTTCCGGCCGCCCGGCAAGGCTTTCATGTGCTTGGACCACTGCTGCATGGTGCCCCCGCCAAAGCCCGGGGGTGGCGGCTCTTTCTTCTGCTCTCGGAACTCCCCATCCAACTCATCCAAATCCGACTGCGAGGACGGACGGCTTTTCAGGCTCTTCAGGCTCTTCAGGCTCTTCACCTCACTTGAATCGATCTCGAAATAACAGATAAGCGAGCCGTTTGTAGGCTTGACTGGCAGCTTGCTGAAGATAAACAGTGTGGGAAGCCAAGCGCTGGTGTCAAAATGGGGGCACACCAAAAGAGGTTAGTGTCCTTTCGGTTTGAGACCACCCCTCTGAAGATATTAGATCAACCTTGTGGTAGCTTGGCTCAAGTGAAACTCACATTGGGATCCCCGAACATGTTTTGGTTTCCTGTTCCTTTCCCTATTCCAAACAGGGGGTCCATTTTGAGAAGCTCCCAAACAGGGGGTCCATATTAAGAAGCTCTCACATACCAAGCTCGAGCCACACTCCGCGTGGCCGAGCGCGTCGCGGACCGCAAGTCCAGACCCGATCTCTCGGCGGCCATGGCATCGATCACCCGCTGGTCACGGTCCTGGGGGAGTTGCCATGCATTCGCTTCACCCGCTCTCTTGAGGAACTACCCGCTTGCCCCCACTAACTTGGCACCTGTGGGGAGGTACCTGGAAGATCAGCTTTCTCTTGAAGGGACCCCCTTTCAGGTGCCATGTTAGTGGCAGGGAGGGTACCCGCTTGCCAGGCCCATCTTTCCAAGAGAAGGATCCTTGAAGAGAATGGGGAAGGACGGCTAGAAAGAGGACAACAAGCAGACCTGAGCCTCAATTAAAGGGACACCAAAGCGAGGAGAGACCTGGGGGTTGGGCCAAGTTGGGTCAAAATGGACCATGGCCCCAACATGGGAACCAAAAGGAGGTTACAAGTTGAATCGCCCACAGAGCTCACCACTATATTTCTCCTTTGCGAATCATTCACAGGAAACTCACCTTAACTTGGCGACAAAGTAATGTTGGTTGAGACCAAAGACACAAACGGAAATATGGGGATTTCTCAAAATGGCGGACCCTTTTTTGGAGCTTCTCAAGGGAAACCAAAAGAAAACAAGCCAAAATATTGGTGTCAATTTTGAGAAACACCCATATGACATATTCCTCTCCCCCAAATGGCCATGGGTAACTTTTCCCAGCTGGGAAATCTCATCAAATTGCTGGTTTTCCAACCAACGGTCATCCCATGTACTTCGAACTCTTTGATCAACCCCCAGACTTCGGTGTGCAGCGGTCCAAGTTCCATTTCCTGAAGTCCCTGAAGAAAATGAGCCAATATGTCCAGTAGTGAAATCGATTCCCTTTCTCATTTCAGCCAATGGAAGCAACCCTGATCAACCCCCAAAAGGGGTGTTCGGAGGGTTCACTAAAGGGAAATCAAAAAAAAAACAAGCCACATGGGTCCCAAAATTCCAAGACATGTGAAAAATATGGGTTCTCTAAAGGTTTTCAGAAATTGAAAAAAATATGTGGGTGTCCAGCTGTCTTCCTCCTTGGTGGTGATGCCATTGTAGGTGTGTCCCCGGAACAGCCACTTGGGCGTCGGGGGTCGCTCTACCTGCACTCCGCGCCCCAGCGGCGGCGGCTGCCCTACCTTTCGGTGATCAAGTGATGCGTGCGCTTTCTGGGATATGGGCACGTGCTTCAGGTGTTCATCCCGTTGCTTGTTTGAGGGTACCCTTTTCACTCGTGGTTCCAGGTACACCAAGAAGAAAACCACCATTTTGTAGGTTCCTCTATTTTGACATGTGGCCATGGATCAAAATCCAAATCGTTACCCCCAATAAACATCCCAATCCAACCACTAAAATAGGCTCTAAAATGGGTGGTGAATTCACCTACCAACCAAAATGGTACCATTGGTTTTGACCACAGCCATATGGGTCTGTGCCTTTTACGGTTGGACTGGGCCGCCCCAAAATGGCTTCGGTGTCCTTGGGGCTTCCGTTAACTGGACGCCGCAAAGCGGTGGCTATCCTTGTGGTTTCCTTTGCAAAACACAAAACAGCCACTCCAAAAAATGGCACACCCATATGACTGCCCAAGCTTTCCAGTTGGCATGGAACTCAAAACGGGAGGTCCATTTCACAAAATGGAGTTTCCTCTAGAAAAGGGGTCCTGGACCCTCTGGTGGACCCTCTGGTGGACCCATGTCCACCAACCATCTTGAGGCTACCCTTTTCAGGCTAGTCAAAGGGAAACCAAGAGGACAACCACCATTTTAGGGGTCTGAATCCCTTTTTGACGCCTGAAATAAATCCCTCCAAACTCTAAAATCAAAAAATGGGAGAAACTATTGGCAAACGCAACTCTAAGTCTGAGAAACCGTAGGAAAGCGCCAAGCTACGTACAAATCCCGCAGCGCTCTTTGTCGCTGTTCCGCCCAGCTCTCGCTGATGTGATTCAGGAGCTCTTTCTCCTCAGCGAAAATCTGTCATATCAAAGTGGTTGACTCTCAGATTCAGAACTGCCTCATCATGTTACCAGGCATGCCCTCAGTTTCAATCAAATGGGCCCTAAAACTCGACTTCTCACAACTACAACCACGCCTCAGCCCGGTGCATTTGGCATGGAGACAACAGGCCCCCCCTTCCCCCCCCACCCCAGATTAGGTTGGCTGATTTTGCAGGGAAATTCTTCCCCCAACAGAAGCAAACCAGGGTGGACCGAGGCCACTGGGCCGGGTCTCAATCGTTCTGGAGACCTCGGTGTTCTCTGGCTCGCACAGCGGCATGTCGCGCGAGCGCAGTGAGAGGTTCGCGAAAGACCGCCACCGCCGGCTGAGCTGACAGCTGCGCGAGGCAAAAAAACTACGTCGGCGACGGACCGGCGAATTTCTGGCACGCATGACATGCCTTCTGAAACAAAACGTGCGACAGCACAAAGGTTTCGAAGGTTTCTGATACGCTGATACACTGGCTCTTGCTCGCTATGATATAGCGCCCAGGGGCCCAGGCTTCCATGCACAGATTCCAAAGTCCCTGCCTGATCCTTGAGCAACCAAGCCACCACGGCCCTCACACGCGAGAGCTGGCCCATGGTGCGAATCAATTCATTGTACAGTGTTTCTGCATGCAGGTCACGACAAAAACAAACAAATCAGAGGGCCAATCAAAACAAGCCCTACCCAACAGCCCCAGAACCCCCGGGAACCTCCCTTTGAACCCTCCCGGAAGCTCCCGCAACCAGTATCAGGGCCTATCGACCCCATAGCTTCCAGCTGGGGCAAAAGGTTGTTATACTGTTGCTTTCCTGTACACCCAACCTTCAAGGATGCCCTCAACCGACCGAAACAAGGTACCACCCGTTTTCCCTCCACCAAAACCCTCAACCAACCAAAACAAAAGGTACAACCCATTCTCCCGAAATTAACAACAAAGGTTTCTGATGTCCCATCTGTGCCCCCTCCAACAAAAAACAGGTCTGCTCCATTTGCTTCAGCCCCCTGGAGAAAAAATAACAACAACGTATTTGCACCAGGTCCTATAAGTTCCTTAGGTCCTATAAGTTCCCTATAAAACAAGGGGGAGCAGGGATCCTAAATTATACACCTGAACATTGCAACTTGTAAATGGTGGTCTCCCTTTATTCTGGTGAAAATTTTCAACATGTTTCAAATGGTCGCAACATGAATGTATTTTAAGGAGCCTTGGGGAAATAGAACTTGTCTTCATTTCGGCCCCTGGAAGGTCTCTGGGCTCTGGGCTTTCCCAGGCCGCCCGTGGCGCCGGTGAGCACATACCGCGCCAGCTCCTGCTCAGCTTCGCTCGGTTGGCCCGTTTCGGCCGAGATGTTGGCCCTGACATCTTTGGACAATGGGTGGGTTGAAATTGATCCATGTTTTTTTTGGGGACGCAAAGGACGAAGAGGCCAGTCCAGGCTTGTTCAAAGATTGATTTGGGAAACAAAACCAGTTTCGACCCCACAGGGAACCCGACAAATACTGTTTGAGCAGGTGCTTTAAACTTTGACCCTACTCTTGACACACCTGCATGTTCTTCTTCCACTGGGCCAAACAGGTTCAAACGGCGGTTAAACTTCCGGCGGTAGGGCGCGCCCTGCTACAAAGCCCCTTCGATAATTAGCCAGGCTCCTTTTGAGCGCGTTTGCAACTGCAAGGAACATAAACTCAGGCGAGGCGGTGAAACATAATATCAAAACGCACGAGTCAATGTACAGAATGTGCAACAACCCCCCCCCCAGACACACAGACACACAAACCCAGACCACACCACCCCCCACCACCCCGACACCACACCCCCACACCACCCAGACACCACACCCCCACACCACCCCCACACCACCCCCACACCACCCCCACACCGCCCACACACACACACACACACCCACGCCCCCACGCCCCCACGCACCCACGCACACGCACCCACGCACCCACTGACCCACGCACCCACGCACCCACGCACCCACGCACCCACACATCCACACACCCACAAACGCACTCACCCACACAGTTCGTGTCTTGGGAATATGCGTGCAGTATGTGGGCACGCATTGAACACTGGCCTTACATAGCTGCGTCATATCTTTGCCCAGCGCACAACCTGGAATATGCTTACAAGCCACAGGGGTTGGACAATGTGTATACCCAGTGCACGATTGGCAGCTGCTTGCCCGCACTTGCCCAAAGAGGTTACCCAAGCTCGCGATATATATATATATAGTTTGTTCTTTGACCACATTGACATTCCATGAAATCAACCTGTCGCTTCTCTTGACTTCCGCACCGCATTCTCCCCTCCCCCAGCTCCCCAGCTCCCCAGCTCCCCGTCAGCGCAGTGTGACCGGACACAGGGCATCTTCGAGCTTGCGGAGGGCATGCGCTGCAGCCGTTGGACCTCATCACGTCTCTCTCCGTCACACAATTGCCCCCCCCCCCACCCACAGCCCAAAAAGGCTTCGACGCCCCTTGTCCAAGGCAAAACCCCGAAAAGGGTACCGAGCCTCGAGAAACCTCACCCCAAGAAACCGGCGCATCACTTGCTCACCCAACCGGTGACCGGTGTGATTTTTGGGTGCGCCACATAGGCAACGCCCTTCAGCGAGGCATCCCGCAGCCAAATATCTGTCCTCAGGCCAGCCGTTTCACAGTGCCGATGTTTTCTTTCTCGTCGGACTGTTCTATGTCGCCAACGTCTGCACATGCAGAAAAGCAAGGTATTTACAGTGCTTTGAAAGCCTTGGAGCTGTAAAGCTACATCCCAGCGAGCAGAACTTCTGTTTCCTTTCGGGGTGATGAGTCAAGGGGCGATTTTCGAGGACTCAGAAGGTTGACAGCAAACGGCATTGATCCCCTCTCCGTTTCGACTCCATCTCCTTGCAAAACGGCCCAGGTCCAAGACCTTCGAGAGGTCCTGAACCCTGACTGACCAAGGATGCTTCGCCACAAAATTGCTTTGATCTGGTGCGTTGCTTCCGTTTGACTAGTTTCAATTCAAATCAAACGGAGACCATCTCACTTGTCCAAAATATGCGGCTTCGAGACACAGGCGCGTCGCTTGCGTTTTCAAAAGGCAAGGGACAGAAGCCGTAAGCGTTGAGCAAAATAGGCTTGCTACTTTGTGCTCACATGCCATGCTGTCAGCTGCCAAAAGATGAAGAAGCGGAGAAGCTGAGCAAATGGCCCATGTCGCACGCAGCAAAGCATCATGTTCACTATGGACCCGAAAAGCTCACATGAAAGCACTCCCACACACATACAGTATCCTGTACTTAACAAATGCGAGCATTCATGCTCTCTTTCTTTACTCTGTTTACACAGGCATCCTGCTTTGATTGAAACCATTGGACAACTAAATTGCGGAGCCAATGGACTTGTTTATCAAGCCCTGCAACTAGACCAAATAAAATAACATCCTCCAAACAAGCTTTTGAATGTTGGTCCAAGGGGAAACCCCTCCAAAAGCGGTTCCGAGAACTCTCCAACAAAAAAGAACTTTGATTTTCGGGGGACATGGTTGCAAAGTGACCCCCCTACCCTTACAACATAAATGTCAAGAAACCGACAGACCGGTCGATCCCTCTCTCCACAGAAGCGACCGCGAAGCTTTGCGGCCATGCTTGGGCCACGGGCTCGGCTCCGTGCATCTCTGCGATGGCGCAGAGCTTCGGAACCTGTCGGATCGCTTTTGAGAGGCTAGGTTACCGGGTTCCGATCGCTTGCAACATGTGTGTAGCATGCGAAAGGAACTCACTTGCTGAACTCATATGGCTGTGGGTCAAAAATAGGTACCCAAAATGGAACCCTGGTAAATGGAAACATGGACTAAAACCTGCCTTCCACTGGTGGCTTAATTTTGAGCCACACCCATTATAGGGTCCACTCTTGACAGGTCCTTCGACTCTTGCCGGGTCCTTTAGAAGGCCCTTCAGTCAAACCAGATCAAATTGCCATACCGGACGACCTCAACGAGAGGGGTGCAACTGGAACGCGACCTGCGCTTCCAAGATCAACGTGCAAGAACGACACCTGCGGAATATCGTGCAACGGTAGCAGTGGCTATTTGGGCTTCTGCAAAGGGCGCCAGATTCTTTGATTGAGATCTTCCTGGGCTAACCCCAGCTGGACATCCACAAAACGCAGAACTTACGTTGCTCAAGCAGTAGTCATCACGTGTGCCTTTGGGTTGGCTTTCTTCCATCAGTATGACAGAAAATATTGGGCCAAAGATTGAGCTCAATGTGACCAGTTGGCTGAGTGGATAAAATAAAGCACATCCCACTTGCTGGCATGTTGGCCTTTTTGCCGTGTCCTGGAGACTTCAGGGTAGGTTGCGAAATGTGTTGAGAAACTAGACCCTGGTCCAATTCCTTTCAAGGGAAATCAAAGGCAGGTTCTCAACCAATAAATATTGATCATGCCAAGTTGCATCGTGCTGCTGGGCGCGGGTAAACAACCAACGTGCTGTGTCCATAGTGTGGCTGTTTCATGTTCTCCAGAAATGTTCATTGAACACGACCCCCAATTTCCCCATTTAAATAAAAGCTCCCTAAATGTCCCAAACATCACCCCCAAAAGGACAAAAAACAGGTTGAACCAAAAGGTGATGTTAAGAAACCATGTGGGGGGCCCTGAGAAACAATGTCGAAAGCCCCGCTTCAGAAGGCTCGAATCGCCAACTTCGGGGCGCTGGCATGGTCCGCAATCTTCTGTAGGCAGCTCTGTGGGACAAAAACGCCTCAGCGTCTGGCACCAGGTCTCCTGAAAAAAACAACAAACACTACCCGCACGTAAAGGAAACTCACCCCAAATGGGCCCAACAAGTCTGTCTAAATCCACCAAGAACAAATTATGGGTGTGGCGCCTTTAACGGGGACCTCCCAAAATCGGTTTGGGTTTCCCTTTGAGACCAAACAAACATTAGGTGCCCTCAAAAAGAACACACACACACACATACACATCCATAGCGGTGAATCCGCGAGTTTCACTGGCACCCCAAACGGCTCCAGCAAAATGAAATCCATTGTCTATTTTGCACCTGAGAAACCATGGTTGAAACCATTGCTTGTTGGTATTTACCGGGGAATCGAATCATTTTGGGGTTCTGAACGGTGGTGCGAAACGCATTTCGCAACCATCCACATGATGCGGCCCTTAAGCATGGCACGTTGTATCTTCAGAGCCGCATCCTCCATTGCCACTGCCTGGCAACTCCAGGCGGCTTTTGTTTGCGGCTTTGAAGTTGCAACAACTCAACTAATCACTTCCCCCTATTAATAAAGGTCTCCCTAATAATAAATATTTGTTTCGGAAGTCCCAAATCCGGGAATACTACTTTTAGAATAGCCAATACTAAACCAATTCTAAAGTAGATATTTTCCTGCCCGTACTCAAATCCAGCCCCATTAGGGGGACCCCGGGGGCACGTTTCCTTTAATTACTACGGCTGCACTACAAAGTTGCGACTTTCAGGCCAGAGCTCCGGGAGCACGTTTCCTTTACTACGGCTGTACTACAAAGTTGCGACTTTCGAGCCAGAGCTCCGGGAGCACGTTTCCTTTACTACGGCTGTACTACAAAGTTGCGACTTTCGAGCCAGAGCTCCGGGAGCACGTTTCCTTTACTACGGCTGTACTACAAAGTTGCGACTTTCGAGCCTGAGCTCCGGGAGCACGTTTCCTTTACACGGCTGTACTACAAAGTTGCGACTTTCAAGCCAGAGCTCCGGGAACACGTTTACCCAAACCCACAACCAAAAACAACAAAACGTGACCTCAACTCCCGCTACTTAAATTCCTTACTCAGAAATGTGCGTTTGAAGCGATTTTACGGAACGGAACAGGGGGACCACAGTTGCAAACAAGCCTACACAGAACAAGAAGTACCTCCAAAACCTGCCCTCCAGAACCAGGGGACCCCTAATAATAAAAATTGTTTTGCAGGCCGGGTATTTTTTTTATTAGGGGGGGGGGGTCGTTTATTAGGGGGAAGGGATTAGTTCATGTGGGTATGGGTCAAAATTAAACTACCGGGGACCACAGGTTTTAGGCATTCTTTTCATTTATCAGGGTGCCATTTTGGGTACCTACTTTTGACCCACAGCCATGTTATAAACCAGTGTGGACATGCACTAAGACGATCTCAAAACGGCCTGTCCACTTAGGATCTCTTGACTTGAACGTTGATTGAGCTCCATGGCGTTTAACAGTGGCACCAAAGTGGCGAAACATGTCTTGCATTGACTCTCATCATTGCTCCCGCTCTCCTGCAAATGAACTTGGAACCCAAAAAGGGGGGTTGCAAAGTTGAGCGTCCCGCTCAAACTGATGGCTCTTTGGGTTCCATCTTATCTTGGCCCACAAAAAAGGGGTTCACAGAAAGTAAGATGTTCAGACTCTGTTCTCAAAATTGAAGAACCCATGGCTTCACTTTGGGTGTCTTTTTGAAATGGGTGTGTCCTTTTTTTTCTGGAATCGACCCCCGACTCGCCCAAATGGAACGCTTTTCCTCTTGGTTTTTGGTTAAAAGCCACGGGTTTCCCCTACGACACACCGAAGGTGGCCGAAGCCAGCCTTGGAAGCACCGGCAACCATGGCGCCCGTGGCGGCTGCTGCCGTAACCACAAGTAGCTTGGCAGAAACCTCAGGCACTGGGTGGGTTTGGTGGGGTGGGAGGCTTCGGGATGCATAAGCCAAAGCTGCCATTGTGTTTTTGGTGTTTTTTTTCATGGGTCCCGGATCTGGACAGAATTCAAAGGAAATACAATCCGCCAACCAATTCTGAAGTGGTTCCAACTCTTATTTGTGACCAACTGTCAAGCAGCGGGGTGCAACATGCGAATCAACCAGACCGAATTGATTCGTCCAATTCCTAGAAACCCGAAGCAGGTTGTTTAAACACCTTGGTGGTGACATGTGGATTTGTCTCAAAATACTTGGCTGGTTGACCCCCCAAATAAAACAAACCATTATATATATATATATATGAAACAACGTGGTTTCCTTTTGGCTTCCTTGAGCAAAATAAAAGCAAAGGGCGCCCTCAAAACACGGAACCACGCCCATGTTCAACTTCCCCGAAGCCCCCAGGAAAAGCACATGTCCAGTGAACTGGATTCCCTGCAAACAAACCAAACAGGGAAAATGAAACAATCCATGATTTCCCTTGCCCTTCATTCCATTCGCTTATTCCCTTCCCTTATTCCTTTCCGCTAGAAGCTAAAGGTATTAAACCAATTGCTCCGTCTCCTGACTCGAGCTCCGCGCGCCAGATTCCAGCAGCTGCCTCGACACCGGAGCATCGCAGGGGGTTTTGGGGAATTGAAGCCCTGGCTTTTGTAAATGAATGGGAAACCCCTTCAGCACCAAACCACCCTCCAAAGCACCAGAGGGAAGCTGCGTGAAGGCACTGCCAATCTATCTTTGACCAAACTGAACTGCAAAGGACGCTGATGGTTGCGAGACATAGCATGGTGCGGTATTGTTTGAATTGGTATAGGTTGACACCAAAAGGAAAGTCACAAACAAAAAAGGTCCAAATCCTGTGACTCACAGGGATGTCTCAAAGTGATCCCCAAGAGTGTTGGTTTCCCTCTAGATAAAGCCATCAACAAAAAGGGGCTCAACAACCAGACACTCCCACATGCCCTTCCAGCGAAGGCTCTTTGCTGAGGCCCAGGCTGCACCAACCGCACAAAGTGCCAAGACAGCTGAACCTCCACCTGTCAAACCGCAAAAACTGGGGTCTGCAAGGGGACCTCCAAATGCTGGGGTTTCCCCAAGAAGGTCAAAAAAGACAGCCCCAAATTGAGAACAGCATGTGTGTGTGTGTGTGTGCGTGTTTGAGGGCATTGCTTTGAGGTTGGTTTGCTGAAGGGAACCAAAGGGAAAACCACCAGTGTTTAGGGTCCCCCCCTATGGTTCAGGAGGCAACTGATAAGTCTCTGCCCGCTGAGCCACAAAAACTACACCAAGCAAAGCAAACACAACATAGGGTCTTGCCTATGCGGACGCAGCGTAATTGCTGCAGTCTGTCCACCTCTAGTTAGGCTCAATGCAAGCAGCAAACCCATACACACCATCCATGACTATGAAGATCCAAAAATATTGCCACCTAACACCAATAGGCTAATAGAGGCCTACCCAACCAGATATCCACCAACCTGCAAAACCTGGAAACTACCCAACAACTGCTGCCCTGGTATTCTAGGGGGTGGATTCCCCGTTCTTTGCAACCATTGTTATTTTCTAAGAAAAACAAAGCTCGTCCCCCTGGGTGTTTGTTTGATGCTTCTTGAAAAAAACGATCCCAAGAGGAAGTATTTTCGGTTGCTTTCTGCTCCCCTGCTAAAAGTTTCACTTTTAGTGGTTTAATGGAAACCCCATTAGTTGGCAAAAAGGTAAAGTCCTAACATCCCTTGGCAAAGCATTGGCCATTGTCTGTATCAACAGAATTGACATAGGGTAGCGCCTTGGCCTTGGCACTGATCGGTGGTTTCGGTGGTTGGGGAGGGGTTTCCCATTGACCCGCTGGGATTCAATTCCCCAAACCAATCCAAACCACTTGAAGAAAAACCTGCCACCACTTAACATGGAACCTGACGTTCGGGGTGGACCAAATTGTCTGTTGGAAAGGACCAGCTCCCGAACATCAGGTTCCGGCTGTGAAAAGGGTGGGAGGGCAACCTGCCACCTGAAAAACCCCTCCTCTAGGGGTTGATTCCCCATTCTTTTCAGCCATGGGTCTGTTTAAAAACCTGCCATTTCCCCAGGGTTTTTGGTGGTTTTCTAGAAAGAAGGATCCCTGGAAAGAATGCTTTCGCAGACTAACATGGAAGCTCCCAGAAGGCATTTGTAAATGGAACCAAGTCTTCTACAGGGATCCTGGGAGCTTCTATGTTAGCCTGGGGGAGTTACCCCTAGAACTCCAGGTACACCTTACACCTCAAAAAAGAAGAAAAAGAAGAAGAAGAAAACAAACGCCACGGCCAGCTTCGCCTCATGGCTCTGGAAGACGCCCTCCGTCGGCAGGCAGGCCACTACCTGCAAGCTTCGCGAGTGGTCGTTGCTTGGGGGACCCTTGTGATGGTTTCTCTTTGTTAGGGTGCCCGTTTCTTGGTTGGCCTAGGGCAATCAAAGGAAAGCCTTGATTTTGAGGGGGAAACGGAGTTTCTTTTCCTCCAATTGCTTAAGTCCACTGAGAAAAGAAAACAATCCAGTAGTCGTGATAGATTCCCTTTTAAACCAACAGGGGAAAAAGCAATACATATATATATATACATATTTCAAGTGTCTTTTTTTTGGGGGGGTGCCCGTTTCTTGGTCGGCCTAGAAGGGTAATCAAAGGGAACCCATGATTTTTGGGGGTGCCCCTTGGGTTGTCTCGAAATAGGATGTGGCACCAACCAAATTGGGGTTTCCCAAAAGGGGCACCTCAGAAAAAAAATAAACTCAGGTGATATCCCCAACAGCATGCGGTACTCTTTTCGGTGCTCTTTTTAGTGCTTGCACCACACCGCAGCTTGAACTCTGGTGGAGCCCTGGTGGCACCCTGGTGGAACCCTGGTGGAACCCTGGTGGAACCCTGGTGGAACCCTGGTGGAACCCTGGTGGAACCCTCGTGGAACCTCACCTCAGGGCCGCCCCGGACCACCCCGGAGCCTATCTGGGCTGAGACCCCAAAGCTTTCAGCTGTTGGGGAAAAAAAACACACACACACACACACCCGTTTGAGTCATACTTATAACCCGGTATCTAAAACGTCTACAAACATAAAAATATGTTAAAACTGTGGACATCTGCAACAACTTGACTTTGGGAATATACCAGAATCTTCATCTACCCGGGTTTGATGGCTCAGTTGGCTACAAGGTAGACTTAAACGCGAGCTTCCCTTGTCAAATCCATCAGCCCTGACATTGGCATACCAGGCACTGGCACAATGCGTCATCGGCTTTCATTCATGATTTGTTTTGCTAGGTCCTCCAGTCGAGAGGTTAGAATACGGGTACCCTTTTTTCTGTAATCTATTTTAGTAGGGAACCCTCCCCCAAAAAAGGGTAAAAGGGCACTACTGGGGAACTTAGTTTGCATCCACGATGCCAATTGTTGGAACCTACCTTTTTGTCCAAGCCGCTCCATTTGTTTTCGGATGCCCGACACCACATTCCATTTCAGTCCGAGGCCGGCGCCAGGTGCGCGCCCGCGCGCGCGGCAGCCACCGCCTGCTGGACGACACCTAGGCAGAAGCCTATAGCTTGGTGGTGCGAGTGGCAGGGAATGAGAAATGGAATGACCCATATAGGTGTGGGTCAAAATTAAACCACCAGGGGACCGCAGGTTTTGGTCCATGTTGCCACTTGCCAGGGTTCCATTTTGGGTACATTTTTTTGAGCCACTGCCATATAAACCATCCCCTATGGTTTCCTTTAAGGGAATCCCTAGGTTTACTCCCAACATCCTGGGTCATTCCCTACTGAGCACCAGCTACTTTCCCTTTCTTCCGTGCCCCCCTCTCAACAGTGGAACCAGTCAGCGCGACCCTCGTGAGTGAAAATCCAGGGGGTCTGGGACTTGGACTTGCTAGTACCTAATTTACTATTGCCAAACCTAATTTAGTATTGCCAAGACTGACTCTCAGATGAAGTGCTTAGCTTAGTACTGAGTGACTGGTTGTTTTGCGAGAGGTTGAAATGAGATGTGCTGTGCTGTCCACTTGGCCAGTTTCTTGCTTCTGCCTAGCTCCAGCCCGTACTTCACCTTGCTGGCTGAGTCTCTCATTGCCTTCTGCAGCAGAAAAGCTCATTGCGGAGGGGGCCACTTAGCCCTTGAGTTGGAAAGAGCTTAGGATGAGCCACCCTTTAAATTGGGTGCGGATATATGTTGGGATTTTTCTCCGGATTTTTGTTGGGATGTGCTTTTTTTCGTTTTTCGTTCGGGCCAGTAAAATCTCGTATTTTACAGCATGTTCTCGCGAAATTGACGCATTTTACACTAGCCCGTCAACATCCCCAGCATTGTTTTCAACATCCCTAGCGTCACCAACAAATCGCGGGTAAGAAAGTAGCTGGCGGGTTGAAGGGGGCCAACAAATATATTTCAATCCCTGTAAAAGAGTCTAAAAAGTAGCAGGGGGGTTGGGGGGGGGGGCAGCCCCCCCCCCATGATGTTCACAGAAGTGATGATGCGAATAGGGGTGCAATTAAATCTCTGCAAAAAGTCTAAAAACTAGCGGGGGGGCAGGGTGGGTGGTTGGAGCCCCCCCATGATGTTCGAAGAATTGATGATTCAAGTAGGGGTGCAATTAAATTTCTGCAGAAAGCGGGGGGGTTGGGGGAGGGCGGCAGCCCCCTCCATGATGTCGGAAGAAGTGATGATTCAGGTAGGGGTGCAATGATTCAAGAAAGGGTGCGATAGAATTTAAAAGGCAGCGGGAGGGTTGGCCGGGGTGGCTTCCCCTATGATGTTCGAAGAAATGCATACATACAGACATACATGGATTACACAGATTACCTAAAATGTCGTATGTTGCAGCATTTTCTCGCGAAATTGGACGCTCGAAAAAGTGATGATTCAAATAGGGGTGCAATTCAATCTCTGCAAGAAATCTAAAACGTAACGCAGGGGAGGCGGCAACCCCCCCCCCATGATGTTTGAAGAAGAGTTGATTCAAATAGGGGTGCAATTACTCTGCAAACAATCTAAACAGTAGCGGGTGGGTTGGGGAGGGGGGGTCCCCCCCCATGATGTTCGAAGAAGTGATGATTCAAATAGGGTGGTGGTGATGCTGATGATGCGGGAAGCCAAATCCCAAAAACCAATGAAAGGGTGCAAAAGCCAAAAAGCCCGGAGAGGAACTGGGAAAGCAGAGAGAGGATGTGAAAAGCCAAAGTCGCCAAAAGCCGCATAAACCAGCGAAAAGCCGCAAAAGCCAAAACGCCACCTGCCGAAGAGGAACTGGGAATGCAGAGGATGCGACAAGCCAAAGCCAAAAAGCCACCAAAAGCCGCAGAAACCAGCAAAAAGCCGAAAAGCCCAGAAGCCGAGAAGCCAAAAAGCCAAGAAGCCAAGAAGCCAAGAAGCCAACAGCGGAAAAAAACACAAAAAAGTCCCAACAAAAAACGGAAAACAAAAACAACTACAATAAATAACCCTCCCTTTAAACTTGGGAATTTCAGTATAAAAACCCTTCACATCAAAGAGGATCAAGGCGTCTTGTGGCAGCCCCCTTTGTGTGATTGATTGACCCTACTTTTTTGCAAAGCAGTTACAAAGCAGTAACCAGGGGGCTATGAACAAGCTCCGGGCCTGGCCTTCTGGCACAACTTTTCCGTCCAGAAGTATCAGCAAGGACATGGCGCCTGAGGGCATCTCGCAAATTTGGGCGCAGCTCATTTTCTTCGGATTTCCAGTGGACCGCAAGAGAAGTCGATTTGTCCATTTACCAACGCATTGTGGGCTACTTGAGCCGCACCCATGCTTGCAAGATCGCGCAAAGATGTGACCACGGGAGGGTTGAATGCTCATCTTCTCCCGTCAAAATTCATGAGCAATACCTTCTAGCATGCCACCGGTTGCATCTTGGCAGCTTTGTTCAATTGAAGTTGCGAGTCTGCACCCGTCGGCCTTGTGCAGGCTTCGCCACTGGAGCTTGCTCCCATTGCCTCAAGTCAGAAGCACACACCCCGCCCGAGGCAACTCTCGCCAGGAAGCATGGACACACCCACCTGGAGAAAAGATGCTCCAACAAAGGAGGCAATCTTCCGATAAAAACCAGCTGCAGTTACCGTGTCTTGGCATGGTCGGCGTATTAAGTCACCAGGCACGGCGTAGAGCGGAAGCTCGGGCTTGGCGACAACACCTGACAAAAACAAGACGGGAAAGCGTCTGCGAGGTGCAAAACCTTCGCCAAGCGCGACATCTCGTGTTCCCTGCCCATGGGGATTGGACACCGGGCCCCGTGCCTTCTTTGGGCGCCGCAGGCACAATGCCTGGCAGAATCTCACCCTTGCCACGCTCAGCTTTGGCAAGTCGCGCTGGTGTTCAGGTCAGCCCGTACGGACCATACATGAGTATGAATGCATACCTGACAATACTACCACCATGGACCCCAAAAGCCAAAACCGACACCAACCAAGCTGCAAACCAATAGGGGCTTGCCCAACCCGAATATCCTTGTTATAAATATTGTCCGTTGCTCACGCAAAAACTGACAAGCCTCACACGTCTGTGCATTCCGTCGCGTGAGCACATTTTCATGATCCTGATGCCGCGAGCAACACAATCCGACTGCGAAATCCCCCTTGCAAGAAGCTCCGCTCCAAGGGCACTAATCATATGGGGCAAAGGGGGGTTCACCAAAGCTATCGCCAAAGAACAAAACACAAACCAAGCCCAGCAAACTAATATGAGCCACAGTCAAAATTACTTGTTCCATGAAAGATGGGAAAATGCATGAGTCCCCGTGTGCCTCCCAAAATGGACCATCCACTTGAATTGTCGACCGAATCTCCAGTGGATTTGTCTCTAGCTGAACAAAAAGCAAACGGTTTCCCTTAAACTTCCTTATGAAACAACGCCCAAAAGGCTAGGCTAGCTTAGGCCGAAGATGACACTTGCAACCTGGCAGCTTTTGGCGGGCATCGCTCATCGGTGCTTTCCGCACATCTTGCCATGGCTAATGTTGCACGGCGTTCAGTGTCCAGCCCTAGCCCCCAGCTACCCAAAAGCAACCCTCAAATAAAACGAATACACCCTCAAATACAATGAATGCTACTTTAGCCCAAAAAAAAACAGAAGCACCCAAATGCCCACCTCAAAGAAACTCTGCAAAGATTTGGTGAGCCCCCTATCACTCATCACTCATCACCGTCGCCTGGTGCCATGCCGAAGCCTTGCGCGGCCAGCAGGGCCGCCTGAACTTTCATCTGGGAGTGGTGCTTCGGATCTAAGAAACCAACTACCCCTTGTTTGGTGGTTTCAAAGGGAAGCCAAGAGGAACACCATGGATAAAACAAGACCCCATATGATCCACATGGGTGTGGGTCAAACTTCAACCAGCAGGGGACCACAGGTTTTAGTCCAGTCCATGTTTCCATTTACATTTTGGGCACCAGTTTTTGACCCACTCTAGGGCTTGACTCCTTTTCCCCCTTCTTTTCAACCATCGTTCTTTTCAAAAACCGATCGCTGTTTCCCCAGGGTGTTGGGTGCTTTTGTGCAAAGAAGGATGCCTGGAAAGAATGGGGAAGGTACCCCTATAACTACCAAAAAAAACCTTGGTGGATTGGATTGGTAAGAAACCAGCTACAGAAACTACCACTGGACATCCGGTTTTTAAAATCGGATCCCCAATACGAAGCAGTTCGGGGTTGCCTGATGAACCAGAGCCAAGTGGATCGTCAACAATGTGGCACCTCTTTGAGACTCTGGTGCCGCCACCCGTGCCGGGGAAGGGAATCCCAAAAAGGACAACCCCCCCAAGCTAGCCAAGCCAAGAGTCATACAAGGTGTTGTCTCTGGACATTGCCTGCGGGGACCTCCTCAGTGGTCGAAACACTGCTTGGAAGAGCGCTCTCTGGCAAAACTTATTGCATGGCTTTGGAAACTGAAGATGGCGAGAAAGGTATCCACAAGCTTCACGTTAAACATGCAACAAGGTGCCGGGCGAGACAACTACCAAGCCGACCTGTGCGGGTATCCGCCAACAAAGAAGCAAGCAACGGAAAGAACGGAATCTGACATGGCCATTGTTAGGGCTTGACTGAACACACAAGGGGAAATAGAGGAAACCTCCGCCCGCCCGTAATCCCAACAGGGTTCGAAGATGTTCGAGCAAAAAAGCTATATATATATATACATTCTCCGTCCGGGCTTGCCGCATTTCATGGGACGAAGACCCTGAAGGACATGCGGTCGGGAACTGAACACAAACAATCCAAACCACCAATTGCGGCGTTAGTTTGAGCTAACGGAACACACTCGCTGGGTGCGTCGCTCGCACATGTCGTGCTCCGCCTACGTATTGATGATAAATAAGGTTATAGGTTTGATCGTCTGTAGCTTGGCCCACAACAAAGGGGTACATCCAAACGCCGTACGTTATGACTCTGTTCCATATATTTAGTCAACCTATGTCGCCACATAAATACAACCTCTCTGATGACAAACGCCCGAATTTTCCAGCCGCACGGAGCAGACAGGGGTTTATGAATCATGTGAATCATGTGGCTTTGGCTCAAAAAATGGGATCAGCCCAGTGGCTGAGTAAATGTTGAAAATACTTTTATTCCTGCGGTCTTAAGTTTTGAGCCACACCCATTTGCCTCAAACAAGAAAAAAAAAACATGGGGGGTGGAGACCGGTAAGGGTGTTTTAAGTCCATATTGGGTCTCACTTTTTTAAGGGTACCCAGTTTTCGTGTTGCACTTGAAAACCGAAAGGCAAACCGCCCGGGAGAGAACTCCCTGAGCTGCTGCGCGATCTCTCGCCTCCATGGTTCGCCGCTGCACCAGCCGCCCGATGGCGTCACGGCCTTGGTTAGTTTGCAGCCGTTTGACCGGTGAACGGAAACACCGGGGGGAGGTGTCGGGACCCCCTCCAAGCTGGATTTCCTGTAGGTTTCCAGCTTAACCACCCCAAAACGGGTTCCCTCAAAAAACGGACCATGGGAAGGCTTCTTTCGTCGCTGTGATTGAAATCTTGTCGTGGAAGGTACTCCCCCTGCATGGGATAGCTTGAATGCCTCGAAGTGTACGCTGCCTTGCATAGAGCCTCTCGAAACGCAACAAAGCCTTGGCCGGCGCTGGCCGACTCCAAGCGTTCCGGCGCCACGATGATAGGATTGTGGGCCGCTGGTCCTGCCGCTTGAGTGGATGTGGTGATCTTGACTCAACTTCGTGTGGCTTAAAACAGGGATCCGGATGCATGATACACCTGAACATTGCAACTTGTAAATTTATTTTGGCGGAAAAAGCCATGTTTCCAATGAACAAAATATACCTTTTAAGGAGCCCTGAAAAATACAGCGCCCCCCCCAAAAAAAAGTTGTCCTATTGGTTTCCCCTTAAAACCAACCAACAAGAGGGTCCCCTAGAACAACGATACACCCATACACTGTTAAACAGTTAAACCACCAATCCTGATAACTGCGGACATTCTCCCAACTCCAAAGTGGATCAAATTGGGGGGTTTTGTTTTTATAACGAAAATCCAAGACTTGCCCAGCGGCTGAATTTGATTGGGGACAACCCATAGAGCCGCTCCTTCAGTTTCCCGGGAACACTCCCTATCTGCCAGATTTATTCGGACTCAACACTGATGGACAAATTCCACCAAATGCATCAGTTGGATGAAACCCGATTTGGATACTGCTGGACAAACCACCGAATCCAACTGTTGCGAGATTGTCCACAATCCCTGGAGGGGTTCAAAATGACCAGCTTCATCAACTCGGGGGGCTTTCTGATGTCAGAACTGAGTGACGTCCTGCATGAACTCGTGGCCTCCGGGAAAGTAGTGCAGGCCTTGGCAGAACCCCGGAAGCACCTCCAAAATCTCTGGCCAAGCTAGAGATCTACGTCCAACGACTCCCTTTAAACCAATGAAAAGAGGACTCGAAGAAGCATCCAAATACCCAAATCGCTGGAATGAAAAGAGGACAATTGATTCAAAGAAGCATCCAAATACCCAAATCGCTGGCAATGGTGGATGATTTCAGCGAAACTGAAACCAGCTCCATCGACGTTGAAGCAAATTGGCCCACATGGACACCCATGATGATGACAGCCCTTAACGCATGCTTGGGTGATGTTGGATATATATATATATATATATGTATAGATATACATACTTATTCTTATGTATGAGCCAGCGTCCTTTTTTGCTACATGATGCTACTTGGATTGTACTTTTAATGAGTATCGCAAATTACACTTTGGCACCTCCAGCTCGAAGGTCGCAGCTTTGCTCCGTACGCAGTAGCTGCCAGGACTTGTGAGCCGGTCACGCCACTCAGCGAAACTACATGATTGAATGCATGTTGTTCACAAACCATGCTCAGAGGGGTATCGTTTTTTGTGAGTCCCCTATTTTTCTTCAAGGAAAATGCAAAACAACAGTCTTGATTGGTCCGCCTTTACTATAGGGGTCTATGATAACTCTGAAGTTGCCTCATGTATATATATATATAGGAATCCAAACAATCAAACAAAAACCAAACATGTAACTATAAACCACTAACCCCTTAGGCATTCACCTGCATTGCTTTTTTTTGTAAATGATTTCTGTTTCCGAGGGTACCCCTTCTGGAGCACCAAAATAAAAGGAAAATCACCATTTTGGGGGACCCCTGAAAAGACATACCCATTGTGAACTCCCGAATTCCAGGCCCTGCGCCCACCATGGACTCCGTGTAGCGCTGCCACCCTGGCGCCTGAAACAGAGGAAACGGCAAGCCGAAGGCTTTGGCTGCGGTTCAAAACCCCGATTCGCCCCCCTACCCCCAGATTCCCTTTTAGAATTGACCAAACCAAAGGGAGGGTTACCCAAGAAGATCAAAAAGAGGATCTGGGCATGACCTTTTTGAAAATCGTCAACAAGAGCAGGGTCATAACTCAGAACCCTTTCTGTTCAAGGGTCATGGAGACTCCAGGTATAGACCTGCCAGGCCCCAGTTAGGGTTTAAGCCCCTGTATGACCAAACCTCACGTGCCCAAAGGACCTGGACATAAAAAGTGATCACCTTTTGGGACCTCAAAAAATAGACCAACAAGGGAAAACCAAAAGGTCACTTCAGGTCGATTCGCCTTCAACTGAGAAACTGAGGTGGATGTTCTCTGGCTTTGAGACCCGCCTCCGTCCAAGGCGCCACTGTGTCGCTGGTGCCGCAAAACCTCGCGGCGAGCGTCGCGAGCGCGAGCGATCACGCGATTCCTTTCGTTGCCACGTTGCCCGGCTTCACCCTGGCCTTCTCGCACGGTTTGTCTTGCTGGTGCAAACTGGCGGGGAATGAGAAATGGAATGACCCCAAGAAAAACCATCCGACTGGTGGTTTCCTTTATTCGGCAGCAAGTTGTGTGTGTGTGTTTCCTTTATTCCTCTTTCTGAGCAGCTCCATGTTCACAGGGTAGGCTCACTTCCGATTGGCCAAAGTCCAAACACAAAGTCCACCTAAAACTTGTAACCCCAAAGCGACTAAAGTTTGTCAAGAGCGGAACTCAGGGAGTGAGACGAAACAGGGTACCCTCAAAACACAAAAACACACCCAGACACAGAAACAAGAACAGACACAGACAGACAGACAGACAGACAGAAGGGCAGGCAGGCAGGCAGGCAGGCAGGCAGGCAGACAGACAGACAGACAGACAGACAGACAGACAAACAGACAAACAGACACACACACACACACATCAAAACCAATTCCAAAGAAGGGTACTAAAGTTGCAACAAAACAAGTGAGTCACAATCAAAACCTGGTATTAACATGGTCTACCCAAAGCAATGTAAAGAAATATAAAGGCGGCCGCAGCTAAATTTGGCTGGGATTGTCCCTTAGAGTTCATCTACCCAAATCGGTTTTGAGGGCGTTCAAGCGACTCAAGTCCGGAGAAATTGCTGTCAGATGACAGCGTTTGCCGCCAAAGGTTGGGCTTAATTCAACCCTCCAGGCAAAACTGATGAAGTTTGCTCAATACAGCAAGTGGCTGGGTGGTTCAAACATGTTCAAACTCAGGAAGCTCAAGTGGCTGTGGGGCAAAACCAATGGTACCATTTTGGGGTAGGTGGACCACCCATTTTAGAACCTATTTTAGTGGGGATTGGAATGTTCACTGGGAATACGATTTGGATTTTGGCCCAAGTGACTAAAGTCCAGGAACTCGGGAAGTGATGGAACCCGAGTTCCTCGTCATTGCGTCCAAGTGTTGGGACTCCGGCAGCTCCACGCCCACCGTGGGCGGCAGACGCTTCCCGGCGCGTGCCGCAAGCCGGCGCTCGGCGCGGGCGTCGGCCTGGCGGCGCGGCCGAAACGAGCCGCGTAGGTCTCGGGGTCCAAAGCCTGAGGGCCAGGCAAATCATATGAGTGTGGCTCAAAATTAAGAAAGGGTTACGCGGGTTTCAGTCTTTGGTTCCATTTGCCAAAGCCAATTTAGTAGCGGTTTTTTGAGCCACGGCCATATCCCTGGAAATATGGCTGGGGGTCAAAACCGACAAAACCCCTGGTGAACATCAAAATAGGTGGTGCATTGGTGTTCATCCGCCCCAAAATGGGATCGGCATAGGTTGTGACCCGCGAACTAGCAAATGGAAGCTAGGTAACCGGCATCTTTTCCTCTTGGTGCTTCAAAGGTGGCAAGCCCTTGGTTGCCTATACAAGGAATGGAATCTGGGGGGGTTATAACCCAAGTGGACCACTTACAAGGCCGAACCTCCAAGTAGTTTTACCGAATTCGGGGGAGGGGGGGGATTTTGACGTGAAACCAACAAAGCAATTTTGAGAAGCCTTGACAATGCAACCACTTGGCTATCAAAGTCACTGTCCCACGCCAGCTGGGAATCTACAGTGCCTGCCCAAGAGTGTTGCCATGGCACCCTCGTGGGTGAGAGGGAAAGAATCCACACTTTGATACCCGGAAACGGCTCCAGCGTGGCCATGTTGCCACCATCTTTCCTTGGCTTTTTTCGATGTGAGGGCCCCCACCGATTCAAAGCCCCTTGCCACCATCTCGTTTGAGGCTGGGCTAAACGCTGGCCCATGCCTCCAGGTCGGCTCGCAAAAGCGGCACCACCTCACAGCTCCCACGGAATGAATCCGTTTTCCCGAGGGGGAACTTGCTCGTGTTTGCGTTTGCGCCTCACAAGAACCAGCACCATTTGTGGCCCCCCTGCACTTTTTTAACACATACAAATTGAAAATAAGATCCTTGCCACTATGGATGTGCCCGGGCTAAACCTGATGTCTTGCGATGGTATTGCTCTCCCTGATTTTGGCCGCGCAAACGGGTGCTTTCCCGGGCAATGTCGGGCAGTTTTGTTCTTGTGGTTCCGGTTTATCGGGCCGCTTTGTTTCTACCCGAAGTTGCCTGAACGTCAAGGGCTCTGAGAATGACTCGCTAGTACTCACCCCGCGTGGCAAGAAAGAACCCAGCCCTAGAATCTCCCACTAAGGACCATTCAAACACTTGGATGTCCAGCTTACCAATCTTGCAACCAAGGATTTAAGTGGAACAACGGTTGGTTGACTTAGAACGCACTTGGATGTCCAGCTTCCCAAGCGTGCAACCAAGGCTTTCATTGGAAGAACCCGTAGAACGTGAAACCGGCTGACCCAAGCGCCCCTCGGGCCCCGGCATGCTCCTGGAACTCTGGGGAAGCCGCCGCTTCCGGCGGCGCGAAGGCATACGCCTTGGGAACCCGCGAAATGGATTTGCCTTCCGACGCGCAGGGCGGCTGTGCAACTCTTTCTGGTTGGGCTTAAAAAAGAAAAAACAAAGGATCCACTGCGCCAGTTTTAAGGGGGGCTCGGAAAAAACAACGATGTCAAGTCAGGCGGACTTGGCTTGCGGGGCTCATGGCGAGAAGCCCCGCATACTTAAATGGCCGCATGCAAACAGCTCCAGCACTGCGGGGTGCTCAGGAACACTGAGAAAGTGTCTGTTTTTCTGAGGTGCGCTTTTCAGGTTGATTTATTTGAAGGGAAACCAGAAGGAATACCACCATTGCAGCTCCCCCTTTTGCCCAAAAGCGCTAACTCAGAGTTGGCCCGGGGCTGCTTGTGGACAATGACTGGAATTCAACGGTGCTCCCTCCTCCAGAGAGATACCAGGTACCAGTTGGTACCCTCTACAGTAATACATATATATATATATATATGTACATGTATATATATATATACAGTATATATGTAGTTTGAAGGCTATTTGGGAGATGGAACGCACTCCATCCTGTGCATTTCATCTAGTTTTAGACAAGTAGCCGTTGCAAAAATCCAAGACCAAGCATTCCAAGCAAACATGTTTCAACATGCAGACATGCTAGAAGCCTCTGGCAACCATTGAAACGAACCCCGCACAAGGAAATTAAGTATTCCTTGCACAAAAGTAACTAAAGGCCGGTGGCCGGAAAACATAATTTGCTGTGTTGCAGGCAAAATTATGTCCGCACAGCAAAGTAGCCGCTTTCTTTTTGCACAGAATCAGCTGAGTCCTCCTGTGCAATTTCTTTGCACAAGTTTCTCCGAGCAAGCTCTCCGAGCAAGTTTCTATGAGCAAAAAACAAAGTTTGGATATCACTTCCGCAAAAGAAATGCGCATTTTCTGGATTCAAGATTCAGAATTGGCTCCCAAACCTTGACTCCAGGGAAAAGAACATAGAGCCAGTTTAAGACTATGGGGTTTAGATATCCAAATACCGGTGTTTAACATCTGGATCGAAGATCCAAGATTCGCGGAGACTTTTGGGAGCAATCTTGGATCCATGAGTGATACTCCTGAAGTCTAAGTACCGGTATTTAGATTTGCAAATACCGTACATAGATCCTGGATCCAAGCGAAACCAGCCATATTGGAGCCAAAAGCACAAGCAAAATTAGAGCCAATAGCCCAAAAGTAAACACGTGACAAAGTAACATTCTTGAGCCAAAGACCAAAACGATAGAAAGTTGAACAAGTTGAACATTAACATATTTCAGCCCATGGTTCTGAAGTAAAATGCTTTGACCATGGTTTGACACGTTTTATGTTTGTACTTGTTTACTTGTCGGTCTTTGCCTCCACCATTCTTCTGAACAACTTTTGTATGGTTGGTTCCATGTTAGAATCCTAAATGTCGGTATTTAGACTAAAGGGGGACATTTAGCCCCCAAAAGTCCCGCGGCAATCTTGGATCTGACCAAACATGCACAACCCCTCACATCACAGGCCCAAGTGCTTGGTGGGTCTCTCTGCCGCGTGCGCCGCTTGCGCCGCGATTGTATCCATCCGAGCTCCTCGCGGCCAACTCCTCGTTGCTCATGTGGATCTCAGGCCTCTGCAAGTCGGCGTCGGACTTTTTGGCGGTTCGACAGGCCGTTTTTTTTTTTCTTTCTTCTCTTCCGGAACTACTGTGATGATGTGTGCGACAGCCAGAAGAATCGCACCAGCGAAATGAAACCATGGGCTTGGACACCATGGATTGCCGGGAATGTTTTTGCAGGGCAATGAAATCATTCCAGGGTTATTTAGCTGGCGGAGGATTTCGTCCATCCATAGTATGGCTATGACCTCCAAAGTGATTGGTGGACATGAATCAACCCCCACCAAAATGTGATGTCCTGTGTGGAGAAGTTTGAAATCCTGTGTGTGTGTGTCCCTATTAAAATTCATGCCCAGCCGGTGCGTCTTGTTTGAGGCTCGGTACTCTACTTGGGGCTGCTTTGCAGGGAAGCCAAAGGGACACCGAAGCCAGTTTGAAGACACGCCCAGTTGAGTGTGAATTTTAACTGGAGCAGTGGACATCCTTTAGGCAAGGATTGATTTATGTTCACCGACCATTTTGGGAGGGTATTCCTCATTAAGATTCACAGCCATTTCAGGCCAGACATCCTAGCTTGCGGGAACCCCCAAAGACAAGTGGTTTGAACGGAAACCACCCTACAAGTGGCTTAAAGGTGGCAAGGAAAGCCAAAAGTCATTTTGAGAAGCTCTCAAACAGTTCACTCGGGAAACGCCACCGCTGTTTGCTTGGGAAACTTGGAGAACAGATCCATCAAATGCGTGCCCAGCGTTCTTGAACTAAATGAAAATGACCCCGCAATCCCAAGCCAACCTCCCCTGAAGGGTCATGGTGTCAAACTGCACACTTAAGTCCGCAGCAAAACACGACTCTCCTCGGCTTTTGGCCCAGTGGCCCCAATATGCGGTGGCTAAGCATCCAGGTGCTAAGTGGTCTTACAAACCAAGTGCCCCTTGTTGACCGGTCTGCTTCAAGCCGCCCAAGCAACAAAAAGGTGTCGCAGCCAACTGGTACTTTGGGGTTGGTTCCAGAAGCAACCAACCAACCAACCAACCAACCCCAACCAACCCCAACCAACCCCAACCAACCCCAACCAACCAAGAACCAAGCAAGCAACCAACCAACCAACTAATCAACCCCAAGAAAAGACACCCCTTTGCATAGGTGTCCTTTTGGACAAATAGATGGGTTTCCCTGGTACAGTAAATCGGGCACAAAACCCATCTAAAACCAGTGGAACCTGCTTTTTTCTAACCAAACTAATCGATCAGAAGGGCCACCTGCGCTGCTTTGAGCTCCCTCCATGGCTTCCGGCACCATGGCCGGGCTCTGTGCCGGCGGTTTCCGCCCAGCGACATAGACCTCAGCCACAAAGAATGGCTCTGTTGGATTTTTTTGAGGTGAAGGGTACCCTTTTTGGGTTGGCTTTAAAGGGAACCAAAAGGAGAACCACTATATATATATATGTATATATATATATATATATATATATATATTTTCCGGGGTTTAACCACATGGACACCCATGATGACAGCCCTTAACGTTACTTTGGTGATGATGGATGTACAGGAATCCAAACAATTAAACAAGAGCTTAGAGTGTTTGTCTTTTTATGAGGCTCGGTGCCTCTTTTGAGGGTAGTTTTCAAGGAGAACCAAAGTGAAAACTACTATTCTTTTGGGGGTCTCTTAAACAAAGACACACCCAGTTGGAGTTCGGTGGCTTCTCAACTATTCAGCCGATGGTGCGTTTTGAGGACTTTGTCCAATCCGAGTTTGCATCATTCCCAAACACTCCATGCGAAATGCTTCCCCACATTTACCCTCCAAATAAGTCACGTGTTCGTGTATCTTGCCTACATAGATTGTGTGGGATTGGTTGGGTAGGAACCTCCAAGCAAATCCTGCTCATGGACCAACAAATAGGGCCGCTTCTTACGTCGTCATTACTGTGCGCAAAGCGAGACAAGAAGAGAAGCAAATTCCGCGGATGCAAAGATATCGGCCGCAACGTCAAGGTCCTGTCACTTCACGCCACTACCGCCCGGTTTTGAAGGCTATATGGCCGGAAAGCCAGGTAGTCAAGACAAATTCTGCTCCTTTTGTTTTGGGGGGGGGGTGATGTAGCAGGTTTTGCCTGGAAAGGTACATGGAAATACCTGTCCAAAGGTGCGACTCATGGGATCCGGCTCTTTCAGGCCCAGTTTTTCATGGGCAAACTGTGCAACACGGGTTTCTGTTTTCAGTGGATTCCTTGTCAGGTTGGTTTTAAGGGGAACCAAAGGAAAACCAGCAAAGAAAGAAGTGGGAATCCCTACGTGGACAAGGAAAACGCCCATTTTGGGGGGGCCGCCCTATTTTGACACCTCACATGACCAAATGGTTCCCTGGTAATGGTTCTGGGCATCGCCGAAGACAAGCCCAAACTTGTGACAGCCCTCGGATGCGTCAGCCAAAACGAGTTTTGCAGACTGGCTGAGTCAAGCGAGCTTGCAATACACATGGTTTCCTGGCATGCAAGTGTTCGTTGCGCTTGACACCGCAAAAGAAAGAAGGCAATGCATGTCGTGCTGAAGCTTGGCTTGAAAGCCTGCATGTGCACTTTGCTTAGCTCAGCTTGCCAACCAAGCCCTATGTTCTTGGCGAAACTTGGCGAAATCCATGGAAGACAATCTGGCTTATGCCCCATTCAATTCATTGCTACGCCCGCCCGTGTCATGCACCTTTCAGGTACTGACAAATCCCTAGCCCAAGACCCTAAATATGAACCCAAGGCCTCACAAATGAGGTCTTGGGCTCCCAGGAACTTACACCCTCACCAAACACGGTGAACGACCAACAAACCGACTCACTCCCCGAATCCCATGCTAAGAGCCCCACACCCAAAGGGAGCGGAGCCGCTTGTCTCTCCTTGGCACGCAGCTTGGCCCGGTCCAAATGGACCATAACCGGAATCCTGGAAATGTCGACCGAGCCTCATACGGGTGCGTGTCAAAAATAGGGTCAATCCATTGCATGGGTTGCCCTGATAAATAGACATCTGCGGACTAAAACCTGCGGTCCATATCCTGGTTTATTCTTGACCCATAACCATATCGAGGGACCACATGACTTCTCTCCCATTTCACGCTGAATCAAACCGCATCGCGCTACTCAAAACACTGCGTTTAGCAAGCCTTTACTGCCACTTGACCGCCTCAGTTTTGGCCCATAAAGCTACTAACCCCTGGCTGATAACAACCCTCCTTTACCTACGAGTTTTAGAGGGGGACCACCTCAAAAGAGTTTGGGTCCCTATTTGAAATTCATTACACGACCACCCCGATCTCCGAGGGGCAGAGATGCGGAGGGCCAGCTCCATTGCGAAGCCGCCGCCCATAGAGAAGCCCACCAGCACCTAACTTCGGGCAGAGTTCGGGCCCAAGGTAGGCGTTCCCCACGGAGTGCTTGGCACCCTGGCAAATGGGAGGGTGCTTTGAAGCCGCTGCAGCTTGCCCACGCTGGAAGGCTTAACTAGAGTTCTGGATTCTAGTTTTGTAAGCCAAGTTCTAACTAAACTGAGGTTGAGTAAGCAATTGAAGGTCAAGGGCAGCCACTCCCTCTACGAATGCTATGGGAGTCAGAAACAAAACCCGGTATTATAAACTGGTCTACACAGAACCGCGTAAAGAATTAAACAGGCGGATATCCGCAACCATTGATATGGTTGGGACTATCCCTTACTAACCTTCATCTAGTAGATGAAGGTTAGTAAGGGATAGTCCCGACCATATCATAAATGGTAGATTCTACCGGGGTCTGATTCTGGCTCACGTTAGCAACAAAAGATTGAAAGGCCAAGGCCCCCGATAAGCCGCCCCGATAAGCAGCCTGGTCAATGGCTTGTATGGGGCTGACCGTATCATCCCCATGGCCAAAAAAACAGCGGGAGACCCATTTTCCGGCGCCATAATCGCCAGAACGGAACAAACAAGACTCCATTCGATCCGCCGCGAAAAGAATGTGAGTCAGGATTCCCGTGGGCCAGGCATAGGGGCATCCCCGCAGGTCGGCCAGAATCTCGTTGATCAATGCCTGTCACTTTCCCTGGACCCAGACCCAGAGTGGTCATGGGAAAAACGGGGCACCTTTTTGTTGGCAGGCTTTTTGGTAGTTCATTTTTGTTGGATGGCTCAGGGTTCAGAATTTAGCATTGTCTACCTCAGCTTCATCGCTTTGAAGACCATCTAATTGCAAGACCTGACCTGGAATAAATCATTCCTGAGGCGCGGTGGCGAATTATATGCCCCTCACATCTGCGCGTGACAAGTGCCTCCAGCATGGCTCCATCGCCAGAGTCATCCGAGGGCATCACCTGCAAGTTGCTCGATGTTTTCCAGAGCTCAAGAAGTTACCCTGACGTTTAACATGCTTGGGGCAGGATACGTCAGGTGGGTAATAACCATGGTTATAGTTGCGAGACGCAAACCGTCGGTGCCGACATCCCAAAACCAATGCGGCAACCCAATGCCAGGATCCGCCAGTCTTTTTCAGGCCCAACCTCATTAATCCATGCTCATCCGCATGTGGGATGTGGTTTCTCTTGTGTACCACTATGGGAATACATGCAGACTTCTCTCCAGTATAACATGGAACCAAAACAGGGGATGGTTTTTTGGATGGGTTTTCAATGTAAATGTGCAATAGGTTTGTTACGTTTAACAGTTGCGTTCGATAGAGGGGGAGTCGCCAAGCGTGTAGACATTGAATCAGGCAGGCTTCAGAACCACTTAGACTTGTCCCTAACTGCCAGACTCACTCACCTTTTATCAGCAAAAGTGGCGAGGTGTTCATTCCACGTAGCAGGGTTACGGTGGATGTCCCTGTTGCCAGTACACCACCTTTAAAAACCACCACAGAACAATATGAAATTCGGGAAAGTTAGAGGTTCTCCAACAGTTTTGTGAAAGTAGCTTGCACAATTCTCCCCCACGCACCCCTTCGCAAAGTAGATTCCACAATTCCCCCCCCTCGTCACCCCCCTGCTTGTTCCCGCATTCCCTCGCTTTCAGGGAACCAATCTGCCCAAAGCGAAAGCGATTTCCCCCACCTCCTCGGACCGCGAGCCACGGCCAGGGAGTTCCTGAAGCATGCCGATCGCGGATCGCGCCCAAATCCACAGGGGAAAGGGGGCTAGGGGGTTAGGGGGTTGGACCATGTGTATATATATATATATATATGTATATATATATATATATACACATGACGTCTCACATGTGTGTATATATATATATATTATACATATATGATGTAGATTGTAGCTATACGCAACTGTGGATGGACAAGAGGTACCTGGTTTATCAACCAATATTTGTATAGTTTCATCAATCTCAGATGGCGCGACATGGATTTTCTCCAGCCACAGTAACGTTCACTAGTATTCATGGGGGTTCATCCATCTGGTGCGAGGTGGTCCTTTTTTGGGATTTGGACCCCCCAAAACGGCGCAAAGGTTGTCAACGAAAAAGGGGAACTCCAAATTTCGAATGGGTTTCCTGTGGGTTTCCCTTTAAACCTCAGCCACAAGGGGGTTCCCGCAAAACAACGACACACCCGCCCACGCGGCGCAGGGGAAAGCCGAACTCCATTTCGCACAGGTTGGATGACACCCAATTTGAATACTGTGATTCTCCCAGTGCGAAGTGGATTTTGCTCATCCAAAGCAAGCAAGGGAACCCTCCAAAAACCAAAGGGAAATGGCAAAGGCGAAGGCTCCGGTGACGATCTGGGAAGGGAGTGCCAGCCACCAGTCACAAGCAATGGTTGAGTGGCCTACCCAAAAACATGGAAATAAGCCCCAAAGGGGCCGCCTGGCTGGAACCCGGCCTGAAAGCTGCCCCAAGGGTTATATGAGGCACAGTCTAAATCTATTATGTCCCAGCTTGATTGTTTTTGCATGTGCCCCATGTCATCCCCTTTACTCTATGACAGTAAATTGTGACTGTTGATCATTTTTACGAGTACCGTAAACTGGTGGATTGGCCAAAACAAGGTTCGTGCTTCTTTGTTTATATATACAAATGAATCGCCCAAACTTTTTGGTCACCCAGCAGAAGTGAGCAACTGAACCAACCTTACTGGTGCTCAGCAGGGAATGAGGGAATGAACCTGGGGGATTCCCTTAAAGGAAACCACAGGGGATGCTTTTCTTGGGGTCATTCCCACATTCCCTGCCGAGCACAAGCAGTATCAGAACCTTTCAGTGTGCGTATGCTGTTTATGTGGTCATGTCTGAGATTCCGGGCAACAGACACGATCTCCACCGCGGTTTCATCTTTGGCCCAGGGGGCGAAAACCAAGGAGGAGCCGCTGGCGAAGGGCAAGCAGTAGGCCTGGCAATGGCAGTGAATGCTCTAAGGGTTGATACATAATTTTCGGTGACAAATACATCCAAACATTACCTCAATGACAAGCATTTAAATCGTCTAAATCACGTGCTGACCTTTGAACTGGCAACTGCCTACATCCTTTAATCCTCTTGAACCAAAGAGGCACCACATGAGGGTACCCTTCGAGACCCGCTGGGATGGCTAGGTCATGATTGCAAGCAGATTTTGACGTGTAGGTCAAAACGTTCGAGTACCCCTGTTGTGTGGCTCTACAGGGAAAACACAAGAAAACCACCCATTTTCGTGGTCCCCCATATTGAAACATGGCCAAAACTATGCAGGTTCCCCCAAAGAGGACATGGGACAATTAGAGAGTCTCCCTGCTTTTTGTGGTACATTCAAAGCTCGCCCCATGTCTCGATGCAAGTCAGCAGGTGACTTAGACGATTTGAATGCTTGTCAATGAGGTAATGGTTGGATGTATCTGTCACCGAAACTTATGTATCAACCCTCTGGAAATCAAAGGTCAAAAGTTGACCAAAGAGGAAAAAGTGCGAATGAAAGCTCGCACGAAGAGCCTGGCCATGTCGAGCATGCCTCAAATCCTTTCACATGAACTGCCTTGTCTCAAGAGACCCTGTTCGTGAAAAGACGAGGCAGCGCCACCTTTCGCCACATGGAACCCCAAAACCGTCATTTTGGGAGGAATTTCCTTTTGGGACATGGACTCCTTTCTCGGAATCCTTCCCTTTTGAAGGGGCGAAGGCTCACTGTCCACGAAGACAACTTCGCCAGGCGAGCCCGAAGCGATGGCTCCGTGGTTCGCTCTTCACCATACCTGACCAAGACCTTAGCCATGTCACAACCGCCCAGGGTCCCTTCCGGATTCCTCTGGCGTTTCCGTTTTTAAACCGCACGAAAAAGGGGTACTTGACCCTCAAACCAGACATGCCCAAATGCCCAGATAGATGCTTGTCAAAATAGGGACGCACACAAAGTCCAGCGACTCCAAGGGTACCAAGGGACCCTCTGGGGATGTGTTGTGCCATTCTTTCGAATCTGGAAAAACAAGAGAGCAGGAGGATGAGCAGCCTTCAGCCTTGTATCCAACTTTGGCCCTGGCATACCTGCTACCATTACGTAAAATCCTCCGATTGCAGTCTGAGTGCCGAGATGCGGTGGGTGTCCTTTTGGTTTCTCGTGCAACCAACCTTAAAAAGGGTACCCTCAAAACACAACAAAAGGCATACAGGCACAGAAACAAACAGGGGCATACTCTCACACACACACACACACTCACCAAAAACAAAGCAATCACAGAAACAAACAAACACACACGTAAGCAATCAAGCAAGCAACAAAACCAAGCAAGCAAGCAAGCAAGCAAGCGAGCGAGCGAGCAAAGCAATCAAAACAAGCAAGAAAGAGAGCAAGCAAGCAAGCAAGCAAGCAAGCAAGCAAGCAGCAAGCAAGCAAGCAAGCAAGCAGCAAGCAAGCAAGCAAGCAAGCAAGCAAGCAAAAAGCAAGCAAGCAAGCAAGCAAGCAAGCAAGCAAGCAAGCAAGCAAAACAAGCAAAACAAGCAAAACAAGCAAAACAAGCAAAACAAGCAAAACAAGGAAGAAAGCAAGCAAGCAAGCAAAAAAGCAAGCAAAACAAGGAAGAAAGCGAGCAAGCAATCAGCAAGCAAGCAAGCAAGAAAGCAAGGAACACACACACACAACCACACAAGCACACACACCACACACAAACACAAACACACACACACACACAAAGACACATACACAAACAAACATCAAAAACACACACGCAAAAACACAAACAAACAAACAAACAAACAAACAAACAAACAAACAACCAAACAACCAAACAAACAAACAAACACATACACACAAACACAAAACAACACATACAACCATACAAACGCACAAACGCACAAACAAACAAACAAACAACCAAACAACCAACCAAACAAAGAAACAAAGAAACAAATAAACAAGCAAGCAAACGCAAAACACAAACAAACAAACAAACAAACAAACAAACAAGCAAGCAAGCAAGCAAGCAAGCAAGCAAGCAAGCAAGCAAGCAAGCAAGCGCAAGCAAGCAAACAACCAACCAACCAGCCAACCAACCAACCAACCAACCAAACAAACAAACAATCAAACACACAGGAACAACCACGAGCGCACACACACATGCAAACCAACGCGTGCAAACAAACATGCACACACAAGAAATCACCCACACACACACACACACACACACACACACACACGCACCAGCCACCCACCCACCGACCCACCCACCGACCCAGCCATCCACGCACCGTCGTCGCCACCGACGCTCTAAGCTCTGCACGCGGCTTGTGGAGGAGGATGCCGTAGCCTCGGTTGCCAGAAGTGAATTGTCGTTGGTTTGTGCAGGGATCCTTACATTATACACCTGAACATTGCCTTGTAAATGGTGGTTTCCCTCTATTTTGCTGGGAAAAGCCATGTTTCAAATGGGCAAAATGAATCTTTTAAGGAGCCCTGTTGTGGCTGAGGGGTTGGTTTGCGTCTCGGTGTGGGTTGAGTTTCATCGGGGTTAATGTGGGGGGGGGGGGGGGGAGGTTGTTCCACCTACCAACATCATCTTGCCTCTTTCCGGTGCACTCAGTGTCCTTCTGTAATTCGAGCAAAAAGAACACTCCGCTTTTGTCTTTTTGTTCAAACACATATTTAAGATGACACTCACTAAGTCAGAACTGCACAGCTTGCCCCTGCTTTGGGTGGAGCATCTGTCCCCTACCGCACCTGGGAGGCGACGTAGGCAGAGGGTTCTGGATCCTGACGGCGCATTAGGTTTGGCTCGAGCTCCGATTGAAGGAACCCAAAGTCGACTTGCTCAGGGGATCAACGCGGCTTTGACGTACATACCTGCCCTTTGTGGCCCTCTTGAAACTGGCGGACATCAGAAATTGGTGGGTTCTGCCCGCCCACCACACTGAGGTGGTTCCCTACTAACTTGGGTAGGCCTGGTCAAAATCGAAAATGCCCTAGCTACCGGGCGAAGCCTCACACGTTCCAGAAACCCTATCCATTTAAGAAGAGGAATATCATGGTTCAAATAGACCCCTTTTTCGGGCAATCACGGCTGCTCGTTTTACCCCCCAAATCCGTGGAATCGCTCGAAACCCATATGGGCAGACTGGGTTTGCCTCAGAATGGGGGAATGATTGGGCATCTTTTGGCTTTCCCTTTAAAACTAAAAGGGGTTCTTCAACACAAAGCACCCCCACCTGTGTGGCATCCACATACACCGAACGCTCAGGGTTCACCCAAAGCATCGTCGGCTCAAAGGAGTAGGCCTCAGTCGACGCGTCGACGTCGGGTTGGTCTATTGATTTTTCGTTGTTGGTAACGTTTAAGATTCCAGGGGGACCTTCCCCATTCTTCCAGGGATCCTTCTTTCTAGAAAACCTCCGGAAACCCGGGGAAAACGGCTGTTTTTTGAAAAGAACGATGGTTGAAAAGAATGGGGAATCAACCCCTAGAAAGATGGTTAAAGCACGGGGTTGATATTGACATCAAATGGGGTTGATGTTGAGGTCATAGGCTGTATAACCTTCACCCATCTGATGGGTTAACAGAACGGGGAAATGAATTGTCGAGGGTTTGCCTTTCCATTGAAATGAATAGCCTCCCTTAAAACGGGCTTCTACACCAGCGGCTTCTTTATTCTACAGTGGGAAAGGCAAACCATGGAGCGATCCCCCATTCTTGTCAAGCATCATGTTCACAAATCAGGCTCTTCCTTTGGTTTGGGCTTTCTGGAAAGAAGGATTTCTGAACAAAATACCCTAGCGAAATGCGAAAGCTCGACCCACCAAGACAAACAACTAGCTGCAGCCAAGAAAGCCGCCCGGTCTCTAGTCCCTTGCAAATTAACGTGGAACCCAAAGCCGTGTTTTTGAGAGGAATCTCTCATTGGGGACAGTGTCTGGTTTCATCTTGATTTCTCTCCCAATTGTAGATTTTGACAACAACAAGTTCAACCAAACTGACCAACACACAACAACCTATGAGCCTTGCAGTTGTAAAACCTCCGCCGAGATGGTGGATTTCTTTTGGGCCTCCTTCTGAAGAAGCTTCCCTTTTTGGGCGTGTCTTCAATCAGGAGACCCCCAAAAATGATCGGTGCTTTGTGGTCTCCAAAAAAAAGCAGAGCTGAAAAGACAAGCCCTGGGCCGCAGGGCCGGCAGTCGGGCCAGCATCGGCGGCCGCGCTGCACCTAGGACCTTGCTGTGGAGCGCGTCCCAGTTGATGTTGCATCCGGCCTCGCGGAAAGGCAGTGCCTTAGGTGAGTCATCAAAACCCGGTGTTACTGGCTGGTGCGATAGGTAGGGAATTTGAGAAATGGAATGGCTCAATCACTCGTGGTTTCCTCTAAGGGGATCCCTAGGTTCATTCCCTTAATCCCTGCTGAGAGCCAGCAAGATGAAAATGTTCAATCCCCAGAACCATGTAAAAAATTGAAAACATTTGTGGCTGGGATTGTCCCTTACCCTCCAATTACCCGGGCTTTGATTGTGACACAGGCGACCTGTTGAGTCGGTTCGAAGAAATGGACATGGGTGACAGTTTCTAACCCTCAAAAAAGGTAGTTTTCCTGTTGGTTTCCCTTTAAATCACAAACAAACAGTACCAACTCAAAAAAAAGACACACCCGCGTGCGAGCCCTTGGTACAAGCGATCGCAGCCCGTTTGTTCGTCCCCCAATGACCCGGTACGCGGAGGAACTCATCTCTCCTTGCTGAGTATTGTTTGTTTGCCAGACAATGCATGTAGGCAATATACACCAACATTTGACCCATTTTGAGGGTAAATGTGGGAAACTATTACCTGCATGGATTGTTCTAAGGCTACCTCCCCCATTCTTTCCAGGGATTCTTCTTTCTAGAAAACCTCCGGAAACCCAGCGCAAACGGCTGGTTCTTGAAAAGAACGATGGTTGAAAAGAATGGGGAATCAGCTTGATCTGTGCTGCCCTCTCCCCAAATTTCATCGCCTCCCAGAGCTTGCCCAAGGCGCCGAGGAATGCCTGCGTGGGGGGGAAAAAACGCGGTGAGCCCGTCGTCACAACCTCCTGCTTTCATCTCCATGGCAAAGAACCGCGGATCTCCGCAAATGATTTCTTTCTGGTTCTGCCCCTAGCCTTTACTCTCCGTTTGGAGGCCAAGTGGCTTGGGTGGAAGCCAACAGGTTAAATCTGCGCCACGAAAACCGAGGATCGATCGCGCCTCGACGTCGTGGGTTCCCTTCCTCAGTTCCAAGCTCTTCGAGCGCAGGTGGTTTCAGATCTGCCAAATCCTCAGGCACGGGCGCCTTGGGGTGCCTCATGCACTGCAGGAACTCCGGCTTGTGCCCCTCTGGCTGCACCTCAACAAGCTTCCAACGCACCCGATGGAAAATCTGGCTGCTTGAGAGTTGAAGTTCTGAAGGCCAGCCGCAAGTGAGTGTTCTTGTTGCCGTTTAGGGGGTGGTCCCGAAAGGTAAGCGAGCGGTGAGTGCGGAGGTCAACGATTTAATTCCGCGGACCTATGCGGTCAAGGCTTTGCCTACAGGGGACGTGCGCAAACTCAACCTGAAACCAGTATCGCAATTCACGTTTTTCTCTGAGCCTTTCCTTTGCTTTGCAGGAATTTGGTACCGACGATGGTTCCAAGTGCATGCGAATTACAACCTGGCAGCTCCAGCTCCCTGCATTTCCAGCTCGAAAGACTTCAGCTTGTCAATGCTTTTGTGGGAAGTCAATTTGGCAGCCCCAGCTCAAAATCGCAACTTGTCAGAGAGCGGTATGCAAAGTACCCTTTGGCAGTTGAAAATGAATAGCTGTGGAGGAATGGGGCAAATTCACGAAAACATCGAGCCTACTTCAGAGCCTAGCCATTTGCGCGGATTGAAGCCTCTTTCGCTGAGAAGCTTGCAGACCGGTGCACATCTGCCCCTTCCTCTGGTGCAGCTTCCAAGGGCTCCAAAGTCGCCTACAGCCTCCGCAAATCTGCACTCAGCAACGAGAAGCGTAGCGTGCACGCGCAGAAAGTCAACGGACTACCAGACTACCTGCACGTCTTCTGGACGCACGCCTACTCGAAGATTTTCAGGATGTGCTCCGCACAAGCCAGTGTCTGTGCATGAGAAGTTTATCGTTGTTTAGACCTTTTATACGGATAACCCCCCAAAAAAAAAAAAACAAACTGGGGGCGGCTCAAAAACATGTACCAAAAGCCAACTTGGTAAATGGAACCAAGGACGAAAACCTGTGTAACCCTGGCTCTTTAACTTTTGATCCATACCGAAGTGGCGAACATAGCCATTAGATTTCAGCGCGCGTCTGTTCCTGTCCCGCTTGGGAATGAGACCTGGATTCTGCGAATGGGCATCACCCGTACCTGGGGAAGGGCGAAACTGGGGACCTGGGATAGAACAAAAGGGCTTCATGATAAGCAACTTCAGCGCGAAAGTGCCGGGGTCAAAGCTTGCTGGTGCTCCGGAAAAATGTATGAGAATAAACCCTATAAACCTATGATTTTCTTTAAGGGAATCCTCAGGAATATTCCCTCATTCCCTGCTGAGCACCAGCAAGTTCAGCAGCAGAACACCTCAAGAACCGTGCGGGCTGAATCCTCCTCGAAGGTACCAAGGTCCGCATCTTTGAGCGCCCGGCGCACTTGGACGTCAAGGTGCTTAGCACATTGCCGGGGCCCACCTGAGCACAGGTAGCTCCAACCAAATGGGTGGTTCTCAGACTGTGAAAAAACAGTCCATTTCCCAACTGTCCTTTCAATAAAAACAACAACCACAAAGCTGAGTTGTGTGCGTCTTTTCTTGAATTCCTCGTTGCTGGCTCTTTTATTTCCAAAGAAACCAAACAGACACAACAAACACAAACAGGTGTCCCCCCGCAAGAAAAAGACAAAGAAAAAGAACAACATGTCTTGAGATTCCCGCCTCCAAAAAAAGGCAACAAACATATGAGAAGCCGAAGCGGGGCCGAAGCGGGGCTTCGGAGCTGATCCCCCAGGCCTCCAAGACGATGGCTGGCCTCCACTGCGAGATCAGCCGCTCGGCGTTCTCGCGCCAAAGGACCTCGCTGCGACGAAGACTCGAGGGGCTCGAGACAGAAAAACCGCCGTGAACCGACCGAAAAAGACGGGAAGATCGAGTGGTGAAAGACGAGGAACTGGATGAAAAAGACCGAGATGGGTCAATCACTTGGTTGGATAAACAGAAAAGAAGGAGAAAGAGAGAGAAGAAGGTGAAGATGGAGAGAAAGAAACAAAGAAAAAGTAAAGAAGGAAAAGGAAGAGGAAGAGAAATGGAAAGCGCAGAAACCGAGAAAAGACAAAGATAAAGAGAAAGGGAAGGAGAACGAGGAAGACAAAGGAGTAAAGAAATAAAGAAAGACGAAGATAGTTTGAAGTGAAAGAGGAAGAGGAAGACAAAGAAATGGATAAAGAGAAAGACATGGAGGAATAAACAAATAAAGAAACAAAATGAAACAAATAAAGAAATCCGAACAGAAAGAAACAAGGCAGAGAGAGAGAGAGAGAAAGTGAAAGTGAAAGACACATATAAAGAGAAGGATAAAGATAACTACAAGGACCACAAAAAAGATAAAAGGAAAATGAAAACGATAGTTCACAGAAGGAAAAAGTGCAAGAGAAAGAGAAGGCGGAAAAGAAAGGCAAAGGAAAAGGAGGAGGAGGAAGAAGAAAATAAGAAAAACATAAACGAAAAGGAAGATAAAGACACGCGGAAAGAAGCAGTGAGAGAGAGAGAGAGAGAGAAGACAGAGACAGAGAGAAAAAAACAGAAAGAGTTAAGAAAGAGAGACAAAAAGAGACTGAGAGAGAGAGAAAGAGAAAATGAAAAAGGACATAGGAATCAACAAGAAGCGAGCTCCAAATGGCATCACGCTGTTGTCATTTTAGGAAGTTGCCTGCGTTGGCAGGATGCCAACATGGCGCTGGCATAACGCCAATCCTAAATTGGACGCCTTCCCAGCCCAACTCCAACCAAGAACACGTCAACTATATTACAGCGCCACATGCCACTGTCCATACAACCACACTGCAGGGAGCAATGAAATTTGCGAGAAGGGGAACGTCTCCCATCTGGTCGCTAGCTTTGCGCCCCAGCTTCCTTTGATCACCGTACCCATCTGCAGCTGAAACGGCCATCAAAGCCGGAAATAATACCAAGTGGGAAAGTATAGCATGCTTGGTGGAGGTGCCAAGATTCGAAACCAACTTGTCTGGCTGATCTTTCAAGCAACACAGCAAGGCCTGGCGAAACGGCGATTCCCAGTTTCCAGGGCTTCGTCCAGTCATGTTTGCCCGGCGGCCATCGCATAGCGTTTCTACATGCTGCTTCTTTCTGGCTGTGCGGTTGCGATCCAGGCCGAGGGCTGCAAGTGGCTGAGAACCTCGTCCAACTTTTCCCGAGGGATCAAGGTGCGGAGTGCGTTGCAACTGGCCAAAAAGTTGAGACAATGGCGGGTGTCGGCACGCACGCACTCTAATTCGCACACCCAAACGAGACAGGCGGTTTCTCTGAAAGTGTTGCGCGAAATGGAATCGAAATTCCATTCAGACAAAGAGCGTTCCGCGAACCCGCATGCTTTGGGACCAGAGCCCAGGTTCTGCTGAGTTCACACCGGATGGTTGTGCGCGGGTACTCGAGTTTTTGACTGGCAAGCGGAGCGACATACGTTCAAGCTTACAACGTTCGTACCTGCGCATTCCTAAGGAACAAACTGGCGCATGCGCAAATGAGGTTCGGCCTTGTTCTCGTAAATCTGGACGAGGGATACTTACCCAATTCATGTATATTATTGACTTCATCAATTGTAGTAATTGCATTTATCTTTTTGATAGCACATGCAACTCTATTAACTAATACTACTGTGATAGATTGCCATCACTACTACTATGATTGAAAGCCACTTGTAACTTATCATTATACATCTCACTAATGTGTTTACTTGGTAGCACTGGTTGATGGCACTTGTAACTTGTAACTTGTAATACACAGTCATCAGTGACTATTTTACAGAGTGCTCGGCTTCAATCATTAAGGTTATACTGATTTTGCATTTATGTGTCGGTGTTTACTATGGTTGATAGCACTAGTGATTTGTACTAAATAGTCATCACTCTTAGTACTCGGCTTCAATGTTAATGCACATAAATCTAAGTATCCAAACACCGGAAAAAAGTTAGCAAGCCGAAAAGCTTGCCAAGGAAAAGAGCAAAAAAAAAGCGCTCGAGGGAAAAAAACATACAAATTCAAGAATACGCGAGAACCTCCGAAAATGCTGGCGTGGATCGCGGCTCACCTACCCGAGACCTTTCCGAGAGTTCCGACGCGAAAGGCTTTCGGAGGAGGACTTGAAAGCAGCCCCAGCAGAACGAGCGCACTAATATTCCCAGCAAGAATCCCTGGCACAACTAATCGCAGCATAGCTTCACCAGCCAGCACCCCTGTCCCCTGCGTCACCATTTTGCATCTTGCGGCCCCCAGTATCACCAACATCATCTCGAACACATTCCTCCCTGACCACCCACCCGCCCCCCACGGCCTACTATTGTGACCCCAACGTCTATTAGTCTATGGACCTAAAGGTTGGCTTTCATTCTAATTTCCACACCTGACATGTACGAAGAACCTATATCATGAGCCCGCTTTAATTCAGCTGCGAAGAAACAGCAACTGTGCTCCTGGCAGTGCCTCGCATGTGCTGCTGCCAATATTTGCCGTCCTGAAGCAACGCTTATCACCAGGCATGAAGGGTGCCCTCTTCAGGTCCTTTCAAGGGACACCGAGCACAAAAATGTCAACGCGGATAGGTTGCTTCCAACAGGCCAGTCGCAACATGACACAAGGAAGGAAGATAAATAGAACCGACTGACCAAATCCGTCTTGCCAAATTGTCCATGGATTTTGGCGAAGCCCGAGCCCCATGTCATCATGTTCCGACAAAAATTGATTGGCACAGGTGTAAAAAAGAGGGGACGACATAGATGATGCGCTTTCGCCAAAGACCCTTTAAACTAATCCCAAAAGGGGGGTACCCTGAAAAAGCGCACACAAACACACACACACACACACAAACATAGACAAAGAAACACCCACAAACACAAACACACACGCACACAACACAATACACACACACACAATACACGATACACACAATACACACACACAACACATGATACACACAAAAACACACAGAAAAAAACACACACACACACACAAAAACACACACACGCACACACACAAACAAAACACACACACACAAAATACACAACCCACACAACACACAAAACACCCAACATACACACAAAACACAAAAACACCGCCACACACACAGAAACACACACACACACAAACACAAAAACACACACACACACAAGCACAAACAACACAAACACACACACAAAACAAAAACACACACACACACACTCACAAAAACACACACACACACACACAAAACACACACACACAAACAACACACACAAACACACACGCACACAAACACACACACACACACCAAAAACAAACACACACACACACAAAACACACACACAAACACAAACACAAACACACACACACACAGACACACAGACACACAGACACACAGACACACAGCACAGACACACAGACACACAAACACACAGACACACAGACACACAGACACACAGACACACACACACAAAAAAAAAAAACACACGCACGCACGCACACACACACACACACACACACACACACACACACACACACACACACACACACACACACACACACACACACACGCGCACGCACACACACACACACAAAAACACCAACACACCATAACACAAAAACACAAAAACACAAACACACAAACAAACAAAAACACACAAAACACACCAAAACACAAAAACCAAACACAACCACAAACACACAAAACACACAAAACACACAAAACAAACAAAACAAACTCACACAAAAACAACCCCCCACACACACAAACACAAACACAGACAGAGAAACACCCACAAACAAAGAAACCCACACACACACACAACACACAAACAATACACACACACACAACACACACACCACACACACAACACACACAACACACACACACAACACACACACACAACACACACACAAAACACACACACACACAAAACACTACTATCTTTTTTTGTGGCTTTCAAGGGAGTGCGACAGAAACCACGAAGTCCCCAGATATCACGCACTCCTTCATGTGCGCAGGGGTGAGCCACTGGCCAGTCATATTGGAGGCCTCGGAGTCTGAACTCCGAATCCGGACCTTTCCAAAACTGGATTGGGGGGTCCGCCTATTGTGACACATAGTATTAGAATAAGGGAATTGGTTTTCCCTTTTGGTTTCCTTTAAACCTTTTCCTGGCACCCCCCCAAACACACCTCCCAAACAATATGGTCTTGCTTTGTCTTGTTTCAGCGGGTGTGTTTGGGGGTCCCCTTCAGCCCCTTCAGGGGGGTGCGATTCAAAGTTTGTGACAATCGCAAGCTACACCTCGGGAATTGCAAGTGACCCTGAACTGAACCATCCCGAGTTACGTGTCTCTTGGTTTGAGACCCCGAATTCCAGCTGAGAACCAGTAAACAAGCGCACAATTGGCGTCGCTCAGGTCGGGACCACCGGCAGAAACTGGATGCCTTGCCTAGCGTCACGTGTCCAAACAAGCGCCGTGTTTGGTCTGGTCAAATTCGTGGAACCTGGGCTGTCCCTTTGAATTGCACTGTTGTCCAAAAGAAAACCTGGACCACGCCCACGACTACCTGCCTTTTCAAGACTGTTGGGGGGCGTCTATGTTTTTTTAGGAAGCCAAAAGCAACATCATCCTAGCTTTAAAGGGAACCAAGTGGAATACCGCCGAATCGCACGCGTTTTGTTTTTTAATTATTATTCCCGATTCGACTCGGCGCCACTCGGCGCCCTGGCAGCTCTTCGGCAACTCCCAAGTTTCGCAAGGTGTCGGCAGCCTGCCAAGGCGCAACAACTCCGGGCTGCCCCGACAAGGATCGACGAATAAAAAACACATCCAAAAACAGAGAAGGAACAAAAAAACAACGACTTTGTCAAGGTGTTGTTTGTCTTTGACTGGCCAAAAAGAGGCCACAAAGACTCGGATTGAAGTGTCCGCATTTCGCCGAAAAATGAATGGCCTTGGCAATGAGGCCAGAGTGGAAGGCCCGCTTCACATGCAGGCGCCCGCACTTCTTCCTGGCCGTCATCGCTTTTCTCGTGTCCCACACATCGTTTCACACGTTGAGTCTTGACCTGTCCGCGTTTTAAAGAACTGGGAAGAAGCACGGATGTCTAAAGCATCTGGGAAAAACAACGAGACACTCCACTCATAAGAAGTCCATGTTGAAACCTCCATCCGTACACTCAAAGCTCCAGTCGAAGCATCCAGGAAAGAGCTTGACACTCTATGCACTTGACTTGCTGGTACGAAAGGCAGGGAATGAGAAACGGACCCCAATAAAAAAACATCCAAACTAGTGGTTTCCCCCGAAAAATGACCCCGGCTTCCTTCCCCACATTCCCTACGTATCGCAAGACAACGAGATCAATGACCATCTATGTGGCCATGGTTCAAAACCAATGGTACCATTTGGGATAGGTGCACCACATATTTTAAAACCTATTTTAGTGGGGATTGGGATGTTCACTGGGGGTACGATTTGGCTTTTGACCCATGGCCATGTTGACAACTCCATCCGCGGCAAACATGCCGTGGCTGCCCAGCTGCTTTCAGCTCCTTCTCCAGAGCTTCAATGGCACCCACCTCCCCGGAGATCACGGAGTGCTGCGGGGAGTTGACCTCACGGTACGGGGTAGTTGTGACACCTTGTGGCTTATGCTGTGAGTGATATATATATATATATAAAGTCATATGTGCAAAACATGTATACATATATATATATATATAATAAATATTATACAATGTGCTGTGCTGTTTTGTTGTTGCGCGCTTGTGGCGTTGTACTATGTTGTGGTTTGTGTAATATTGTGTTGTGTTGAATTGTGTACGTGTAGTATTGTGCTGTGTGTGGTAGTGTTGTTGTGATGTGTTGTGTTGCACTGTGTGTAGTATGTCATTTCACTTTGTACTGTGTTGTACTATGTTGTATGTGTGTCGCGGATGTGTGGTACGTTCTGTGTTTGTTCCAAAACTGGTGTGTGTGTGTGCATGACAGTAGTGCTTGATGTGTAAGTTGTAGTGGGTGGTGTCGTTGCGTGCTATGCCGTAATGGCTACCCATGATTGGAAAAGGGCCCTGTCCCCAGCCTTCCAGGTCGACAAAGCTTGAGAAAAACCAAATTTGGAGGCTCTCTCTGAGATCCGGTAGGACCGCCCCTAATGACTCGAGAGGGCAAGTTTTGCAGTGAAGCGGCAAGCAAAGGGTGGCCTTTTGATTAGGAAAACAACAGCTTGGCGGTTTGAGAAGTGTGGCTGGGGATCCCCTTCATGAATCGGGCGGGTGGGGGCAGGGTTGGTTGTTACGGGGGCTGGGCCTTGAAGGGGGGTTAGGCCGTTCTTGAGAGTGGCGGTTAAACATACTTGGATGCGCATGCATATGTTGTGTTGCGCTGCGTTGTGTTGCCTTGTGTCGTGCGTTGTGCGTTGTGTGGTGTGTGGTGTATGGTGTATTGTATGGTGTCTGATGTGTGGTGTGTGTTGTGCTTTGTTTTGTGACTTGTGTGTTGTGTTGTGTTGTGTTGTGTTGTGTTGTGCTGTGTTGTGTTGTGTGTTGTGTGGTGTGTGTTGTGTGTTGTGTGTTGTGTGTGGTGTGTAGTGTATGGTGTGTGTGTGTGGTGTGTGGGTGTGTGGGTGTGTGGGTGTGTGGGTGTGTGTGTGTGTGTTTGCTTGTGTGTGTGTGCGTGTGTGCGTGTGTGCATCTGTGCGTCTGTGTGCGTGTGTGCGTGTGTGCGCGTGTGCGTGTGTGCGCGTGTGCGCGTGCGCGTGTGCGCGTGCGCGTGCGCGTGCGCGTGTGAGTGTGTGTGTGTGTGGGTGCGTGTGTGTTTGTGTTTGTGTTTGTGTTTGTGTGTGTGTGTGTGGTGTGCGTGTGCGTGTGTGTGCGTGCGTGCGTGCGTGCGTGCGTGGGTGGGTGTGTGTGTGTGTGTGTGTGTGTTTGTGTTTGTGTTTGTGTTTGTGTTTGTGTGTGTGTGTGTTTGTGTTTGTGCTTGTGCTTGTGGTTGTGCTTGTGTTTGTGCTTGTGTTTGTGCTTGTGTTTGTGTTTGTGTTTGTGTTTGTGTTTGTGTTTGTGTTTGTGTTTGTGTTTGTGTTTGTGTGTGTGTGTTTGTGTTTGTGTTTGCGTTTGTATTTGTAATTGTGTTTGTGTTTGTGTTTGTGTGTGTTTTGTGGGGTCTTTACTTTTGTGTGTGTGCGCGTTTGTGCTTGTATGTAGTAGCGTGTAACACATTGGAAGTCGTGCTTCACGACAACCTACACTCAACTCTTTCCGTCGCATGTAGCGCAGCATCGTGTTAGTCGGCTGTCGAGGACTGCTGCTCCGTCCGGGCCGGAAGGCATGAGTGGGACACATGCATTACAGCCTTGCACTAGCTCAGGATCGCAGTTCGAGCACAAACTGGCAAAGGCATCTGATTGGAATGCAAACCATGAAGTACCAATAAAGGCTGGCAATCCTGCTAGGTCCGCAATCCTGAGTGCCTTTGGTGTGAAATGGCACTCTTGCCATCGCTGTGGCTTCTGCTGAAAACCATGTCAATTCTGAGCAAACGTGTCTGGGCAAAAAAAACGCGCCCTCCCCCCCAAAAAATAGTAGTCAAAACAAAACAAAGAAGCAGCATACACAACAAAGCAACAAAGGCCAGAAACAAAGAAAGAAAACAACAGTTGCACAGAAACCAAAGAGCACAAACCAACCATGATTAGAGTTAGGCCCAGTTATAGAATAAATATTTTATTGCTTGCTTCACTTTAAGTCACTGGCAAAATGTACGATGCATCCTAAATCCACCCCAACCAACACACAACGACAAACGCTGCTTCGGTCGCCTTTTTCGTTATCCCGGCCGGGGCCGCCGGGGCCCCATGCCGCTGCCAGCCAAAGGCCTGGGCGTTGACCTGCGCCGACCTCCTCCAGCTCCTCAGTGGACCTCGCTTGAGTCTCCGGTGTCCATGGAACGTGCCACTTTTGGTGCCAAACAAGCATATGGCCATGGTTCAAAACCGTTTTGGTACCATTCGGGATAGGTGAATTCACCACCCATTTTAGAACCTATTTTAGTGGGGATTGGGATGTTCACTGGGGGTACGATTTGGCTTTTGACCCATGGCCATGTGAACCCGCCATTTCTTTGGTGCCACTTTTGGTGGTGCCAAAAAAGGCCATGGGGGAACAAGTCGGGAACAAGTCGGCATCAAGCTCTTTGGGCAGGTCTCCATTCAACTCATAGCATTTGTTGTGCGCGTTGCTTTGCAGGCCACCCTTTGGCTGATCTGGTGGTTCATTCCCAGCATCACTGTTGCTTCGCTGATAATTGGCAAGGGCCTAACAAGCCCTTGGAAGGTGGCTACTGTGGCTGAACAAAATCCACGCCAAACCACCAACCGGCGCAAAATAGATTTAAAGTCATACAGGTTTCTGATTGTATCTATTGCGGATTGGTTGGGTTGGGACACTTAAAATGTTGCTTTCGTACAACACATACAAACAAGACACAAGCAACCCACGCGTCGCTGCTTCAAAAGTGCAGGCTTGCCTCTGCCGCCAAGTCGAAAGGCCCGCCCTTGAAGTACTAGCCAAAAACCGACCATCACCGTTTTTTCCTGTTGTCTTCCCTCCATTTGCTTAAGCCGCCTGGAAATCACAATGTGTTCGATAGTGATAGAAGCCCTTTAAAGCCAACAGGGGAAATTGAACATACTATTAAGCAAATGGAAGAGTTTCCTTTTACTCTTCCCAGCGCACATCGGTGGCTTGGCGGTTGCCCTGGTGTAATCTCCGCAAGAACCAGGGGTTCAAATGTCAAACCACCAATACAGACCACCAATTGGGAGGCTCAGCACTGGGGCCGCTGCCAATCGGCCACAGACAGCATGGCGCCCTCGTCTGCCAAGGTTTCGGTGGACCTGGCAAAGGCCACAGCACGGTTTTTGTTTTCCGGCACACTTCGTCAGGCATGAACATATTTCTCAGATGCGAAGCGTGCAAGAATCAGCAAAGAAAGTCAGACATGGTGGCAGCCAGCCTTTTTGTTGAACAAGACACGCTTAAACACCCATGGCTCAAGCAACTTCCTGTTCGTTGCCCTAGTGGGGTGAAACGGTCTGGCTGGCAACCTACCCTGATTTTGGACCCTAATACTGTGGCCGGAGAAAATCCACGTCGCACCAGTTAGGTCGTTGATCCTTGCTACAGCGTTGTATCATGATTCATCCATTCCAAGCGCAGGATTCACCACCTATGGATGAAACCCTCTATTGGGCTAAACCATCTGCTACAACCTGGTGGTAACCATCCACAACTGGACTTGCACTCCTATGTGCATGGTTACAACGATAATATGGCTGTGGGTCAAAATACGTACCCGAGATTGGTTGCATGGACACACCGGCGCACTAAAACCTGCGGTCCATATCCTGGTGGCTTTATGTTGACTAACATACCCAAAATGGGTGGTTTCCGATTGGTTTCCCATGGTGAATTCACCTACCAACCCAAAATGGGATCCAATTGACCCCTGGTATCATTGACCAAACCAACCCATTTTACCCCTATATCCCACTATGGTATGGGGCGAACAAATCGCAGGTTCTAGTCCTTGGTTGGGCTGCCCTCAGATCCCCGGCTAATAGTTTAACTTTTAGTGGGGTAAATGGAAACTACTACTAAACACTAAAAGGCTCAAAAGCTAAGGAACCGGATGGCTGGGAGCCACCAAGCAAACCCATGGGGTTGCCCTCTTGACCTGAGCTCTGAGCCGGGCTCGGGTGGCCACGATCTGCAGCGCCGACTCCAAGGTCAGGAAGCCCCCCACCACTGCCGCCGCGTACCTCACCGAAGGGACTGTGCAGGGGCCGCCGGTGAGGGAAATTTGGGAAAACAAAGAAGCGGGGATACGGGGGAAGCGGGGATGTGCGAGGACTCTCTGTAAAGAAACCATGTCTAAATATTACCTGAAACATATGCCCACATCCCTGCCTCCCCTGCATCCCTGCTTGTTTGTCTGATAAATCCCTGAACTCAAACAAACATGGAAGCGGAAGACGTGTTGCAGAACTCAGAAAAGCCCCCCAAATTGCAACTCAAGGATGTGCCTGAGTCAAT